CGTCGAAGTCACACGGATAGCTTTGCCAAGTCATGGCCTTGGGAATGAGTCTGTGTCGATGTCGTTTTCGTCACATCGTGAGAGTAAATTGCATCGCAGCTCAAAGAAATTGGGCACGAAACGAATTGGGACCCATCCCGCTCATCAACATTCACCACACTTTCGACATGTCCTCTCTGACTCCATATCGATACGAGGAAGAACTCGTTTGTTGTAAACCAGACGTACATGTACCGATGTGAGTGAGTTGTCATTTTTCATGCTTTCGCGCGGATTATTTCTTCGAGTTCACAGTGAGTTTTTCCAGCCAGCTCTCGAGCGCGCATACAGTAAGACGGCAAACTCCCCGGGCGATCGCCAGGATTGCTAATCTTTTTGAAACTGACTGTAAGTAGCTACCGCTACAAGTAGAACTGAAGTTATGATCCAAAGAACATGAAAAAATGGATAATTTTGAAAATTTCCTAGGGCTCTTTAGTAAGGGTTAAAACGAGTCATTGTTTGCGATTCGGTTGGAAACCCCCCTACAGTCCATTTCAAAACTATAGACGCGTACCTAGGCAAAATTGCCGCAAAAACCGTTATGCCAGCATCTATACCACAAAAAATCTGTGATCACTTTGTGTGTGTGTGTGTGTGTGTGTGTGTGTGTGTGTGTGTGTGTGTGTGTGTGTGTGCGTGTGTTGAGTTGAGTCTCTTGAGGTCAGTTTGATCTTTTGAGGCTCTGTCTAGTTCCCGTCTTCTACTTACTTGGAGCTCTCCCTAAGTTAGTTCTCGCCCCCCAGGGCTCTCCTAGCCTTGCTAGGAGAGCCCCTGGCGTCCAGATAGAAATACAGGTCGGAGAGGCTCACGGCGCGTCTTCCAGGACAATTTAAATTTTGATATTGTCACTGGCGCGCCGCTCTCCGTCCTCCATCCGCAGTGGGCTAGCTACCCCTCGGATGTCGCCTCTACCATCCTCAGCTTTTCAGCAACCAGAAAACGGGCGACGTCGTCGCAGGCAGGATCCCCCCAGCAGAAGCGATTCTCTACTAAAATTCGCTTCGTGGAATGTCAGAACTCTCGTGAATGCTGACGGCCCAATCGAAACTGCTGCGTCTGGACATAGAGTAGTCGAGGACAGGAAGATCAATACTGTCATAAATGAGCTGAAGAGACTCGACATCGAAGTGGCTGGACTTCAGGAATCGAAGTGGTTTGGAGCTGAGATCTACAATGTCGCGGATTCGATCGTGTTGTCGTCTGGACGTCCCGTACCATCTGAAAATTTCAAACGCGGAGAAGGAGTCTGCATCGTCCTGAGAGGCCGTGCACGGAACGCTTTCTCGGCAGGAGGAAACCAATGGACGGCGGTATCGTCGAGAATTGCACAATGCAAGTTGAAGTTCGTCCACCACGGAAACAAAAACACCTGGATCAATGTGATTGCATGCTACGCTCCAACTTTCAGATCAAGTAGGGAGTCCAAAAATGAATTTTTTGCATCCCTGCAAGCGAGCGTAAACTCAGTGCCACCAAGTCAACAATTGATTATCCTTGGCGACTTCAATGCACGGGTTGGTCTCATCCAGAGTGCTGATCCATGGTATGGGACTTGTGGAGATAATGGGATAGGGGAAACGAACCACGCTGGACTGGAACTGCTCCAGTTCTTGACATGCAACAGCCTCACTGTGTGCAACACCTGGTTTGCCAAGAAGCGTATCCACAAGTATACATGGCAGCACCCACGGTCGAAGAAGTGGCACTGTATCGATTATGCCATTGTCAGGCGGCAAGATCTGCTAGCCTGCACAGACTGCCGCGTTATCCGTAGTGCGGAGTGTAGTACCGACCACAATCTTGTATGCTTATCGTTCTGTCTGTCGTACACCGTCAACTTTCGCACCGGAGTAGCACGGCGTTCACGCTTTAATATCCAAGCTCTCATGACCCGCCCTGGTATGACCGACGAACAATCTAATGCCGTGCAGGCTACTCGGCTCCAATTCGCCTCCGGTGTGCAACACCATCTGCAATCGTCTGGGCCAGCTGATACCGTTGATGCCAAGTGGTCGGCATACAAATCTGCCTTGACCTCCAGCGCTGAGGCACACCTGGGCAAACCCGTTCGACTACAACCAGACTGGTTCCTAGCAGCAGCAGACATCCTCCAACCTCTTTTTGCTGAGCGCACACGCCTCCATCAACAGTGGCGTCAATCAGAGCTGCCAGCGGACCACCGCCGCTTCCTCGATGTCCGAGGTAGATGTCGTACCGCAGTTGGTGCAGCGAAGAGTGCATGGTTGGAGCAGAGAGCTAGCACTGTGGAGCGTGGCAAATTTAGTGGTAAGCACGTTTGGTCCGCCATCCGAGACATTCAACGGTGCTATTCAGGACTCCGATCCGTCACCATCCATCCGGTCCGTAATGCTGAGGGCATAGTTTGCACGTCTTTGGAGGAGCAGGAAGACTGCTGGTCCACTCACTTCTCGAACTTGCTCAATGTCCCCAGTACCTTCAATGCCTCCACCGTTGCTAACATCCCTCAACGTGAGCCTGACGAGTCTCTGGCAGTCACACCAACAATGGAAGACCTTGTCGTCGCCATCAGACACCTTGCAAATGGCAAAGCTGGAGGTTCCTCGCGTATAGTCCCCGAGCTTGTGAAAGCAGGTGGCCATGATTCCCTGGACGCATTGCTGGATCTCGTCCAACTTGCTTGGACGACGGCCACTGTTCCGCAGGAATGGCGCGATGCCGAGTTGGTTCCTGTTCCCAAGAAGGGCGACCTGTCCAAATGTGATAATTGGCGGGGTATTGCCCTTCTTGATGTTGTTGGCAAGGTGTGTGGCCGCATGATTCAAGATCGCCTGCAGTTGTTGGCTGAGTCGGAACTCCCAGAGTCCCAGAGCGGCTTTCGGCCAGGCAGGGGCTGTGTTGATGCCATCTTCTCGCTCCGCCAGCTAATCGAGAAAGCATACGAACATCGTCAGCAGCTCTTCTGTGTGTTTGTGGATTTGAAAAAGGCGTACGATTCTGTACCACGCGCTGCTCTCTGGGTGGCCTTGGGCCGACTTGGGGTCCCGCAACAGCTAGTGGCCCTGATTAAGGCTTTCCACACCTCTACCTCTGCCTCGGTCCGAGTTGGCAACTCCACCTCTGATGAGTTCCCTGTGGTTAATGGTCTCCGACAAGGATGTGTCATGGCACCCGTTCTCTTTAACCTGTACTTCGGGGCGGTTGTTGAGACATGGCGTGCCCGGCTAAAGGATGCAGGTCGTAGTCACTCTGTCAGCATCCAGTTTTCCATCGATGGCCAACTCTACCCCCGCTCATCATCGCGCAGGGCTGGCGAGTCACTGTCTGTTAGTGACCTGGAGTATGCTGATGATGCCGTTCTCGTGTCTGAATGCCGTAGTGATGCTGAGTTTGGTGTGGAGCTCTTCTGTAGTGTTGCTCGAGAATTTGGACTAACTGTGAGCATCGCCAAGACGAAGATCATGACGGCGGGCCATGGGGTCTCTGCTGAAGACTCGGCTGACATCGTTCTCCCCCTTGGCACTATCGAAGCCGTGCCGAAGTTCACCTACCTAGGATCCATAGTGACCCCTGACAGTCGTTCTTCATCCGACATCAAGCGCCGTATTGCCGAAGCCTCAAAGGCCTTCGGAGCCCTCCAGAAGGTATTCACTGACAGATCTCTGTCCCTCTCTAGTAAACGCCACCTGTACATGGCCTGCGTTTCCTCAATATTACTGTATGGCGGAGAGTGTTGGACCCCACTCCAACGGGATATTAGAAGTTTGGATAAATTCCACCATCAATGCATCCGGACTGTCCTCAGCATCACCAAGCCTCGTCAGTGGTCCGAGCGGCTGTCATCCACAGACCTGCGGAACCGTTGGGGAGACCCAGTACTGATGTCTACACGCCTCCGCAATCGGCGTCTGGAATGGACTGGGCACGTTGCGCGTATGGATGAGGATCGCACCCCCCTCCAACTCCTCTTTGGGTGGCTGCCTGTGCCTCGGCCGTTTTGTGGTCCCCGGCGACGGTGGAAAGACACGGTGATGACCGACCTCAAGGTTGCACTGCAACAGCCATCTCAGTGGTTCATCCTTGCTCAGGACCGCCAACAGTGGAGGGAAGTACGGGTTGCCCCTCAGTCGAGCTCCACCATGCCCAAGTCTGTGCATTGCGCAGTGTGTGACCGGAACTTCTCACGGGTCTCAGATAGGACGCGGCACAAGTGCACCACTCAGAGACGGCTTCCCATCCAGCTCCAGCGTGGATCAGTGCAATGCCAGAACTGCCAGAGGTGGTTCCGCAGCAAGGGTGGCTACTCTGTTCATCGATGCCAGCCTGTCACGAGTTCTCCTACACCAACAGTCAGTCTGTCTGTGCCACTTTCAGCTTGTTGCCAGCAGCACTGCCCAACATGTCAGCGATGCTTCCGTTCTGCGGCCGGGTTCAAGCGTCACAACTGCAATCGTGGTGCGAGACCATCTGCTGCTGAGAGAGCAGGTCTGCCCCTCAGCTGCCCACGTTGTAAACGCAATTTCCGCCGGCAGCAGGACCTAGCCAGACATTCGCGGTCCTGCTTGTGATCCGTGTCCCGTTTTCTGGTCCCCTTTCCATAGGGGTGACACTTGCCCCTCTGGGCAGTCATGCTGCTAGTAGTAGTAGTAGTAGTAGTAGTGTGTGTGTGTGTGTGCATAATTTTTTCCAAATTAGGTTATCCAATCGTTTAGAAACTATATGAGAGTAATTGTGGAGCGGTCCTGAGCAATATTCCGAAAACTATTCTCAAAAAGCTCCAGCCAAATTTGAAATATTTCAAAAACCCTACGCGTCTATAGTTTTGAAATGGACTGTAGAGGTGACCCTGCGTACACGCCTAGTCCGGGTGTGCATGCGTAAGCTGCTTTGGGTGCAACACATCGCACGGGTGTTGCTCAGCCAGCGTAGCTCCATGCACACGATGCACGTTCAGAGGCATGCAGGATTGCTGTACATACCATGTGACAGCAGACCTTCGCCAAGCAGCTCATCGCAACATGCCTGCGCATCCTCCCGTGAACTGAAGTCATTCTGCACGGCACATGTAGAAAGCAAAAAAACAGAAACAAGTTCTGAGAACAGAGCTTTGAGCAGTAAGCATACTATAGGTACTGGGTGTATAAAACAAAATCAAACTCAGGAAAGCTACATGGGTGCTGAGTAATGGCAACACACACACACGCACATACTGGTGATATCAACAGGCACTGGGCAGATAGACGGATGCGCTTCTTACATGTGCTACTAAGAAATCGACGAGCTCTTTGCCGGTGAACGTGTGCTTGATGCCAGATCCCAACTTATGTTTGATATCCCTGACAAGAAGAATGGACACACACGCAACAGAGGCAATCAACACAATATCTTAACATCTTACAAAGCCCCCTGAAAACACACACACACACACGTGCGTATGCGCGCGCGCATACACAGAGCTGGTCCTAAAGAAACCTCGCTGCCATGCAAAGAACATCAGTCCAATGTTTTCAAATTCTGCACGAACAGGGACAATGTGGACATAAGTACCACTCACCGAACAATTGGCGTTGTTAACATGTGCAAGCGCACATAGTACTGTAACGCCTGTGCACAGGGAGGAAAGCCAAAGAAAACTGAACATTAGATGGAAACATGGGCAACATGTAAAAAAATAGCAAGGAAGCCAATAAAAAATGGTAAAGTTCACACATTCGCGTTACCACCGGCTATACAATTGTGTTGAAGAACACAGCAAGAAAGCCAATGAACCGACGAAAACAAGGTTCCCCAAATCAAGAATATGAATTGCAATACACGAGTGAAAAACAAACCTCCCCTTCACTTGCATCCACTTCAACCACCTGTGACCTCACAGCTTACCTTCCTGGAGAATGCACTCGACTCGACGCGTGCCTCGAAAGTGCCATCGTCGAAGCGAAACCGGTACAGGAAATTCTCGTTCTTGAAATGGGATTTGTCGCTGACTGCAGACAGAAAACATACACAAGAATGCCAGTGTTGATGTACTCACTGTGAATGTGCACAATCCATTACTACAACTGTTAGCACGTGCATATTGAAAGCATCACTATCGATGTCGATACAGGATGAACAGAGGATGCAAAACAGGCCATGTACTTGCAGTGCACAACACGGTATTGAATTCCATGTACTACTCAAGGACAAAAGTATGTACTTCGAGTACATGTATCTTGATTCGAGGTCACGGGTGCATTGCTAACACATGAATTCATCTGCGAAAGATGCAAAACTGTAATAGTGACTACTTCAATGGTAGCCCTTGGTTCAGCTGTATGACCCTCTTTCCCCTCCCCAATCTCATCATGCTGGCCAACACGACATCCGCAGGAGGTAAGGTCAGCTCCAGATGGACGGCATAATGTCCTTGGAACTGAGAGAGGTGAAAAAATGGCATGGAACGAGCCAGTGCACACGCGGAGAGTGATAAGTCTTACCATGATGGATGATTCCATTAGAGACCAGAGCACATCCTAACTCCACTGCTTCTTCTTCACTTTCACATTCTTTGGACTCCAACATAAACTGAACAAATTCCCTGGAGAAGTACAGGAGGAGGAGGATGACGACGAAGCAGTTAATCTCCATGTGCAATTTTCAGAGCACTTCAAATCTATCTGTTGCCATCTGTCGTGATTACTTCTTACTGCCATAACTGACAAAATTAATAGATTCACGAACTGATCACAATTGCAGAGCCTACATGCGTGGCGGTTAATTAAATGATAATAGAGAGGTTCCGCACTACGTAAAGTTGAGCAACTTTATGTTAGGGGGCGGCAAAACCCCGTGAATTCGCGAGTTTGTACTCCACTTACGGAAAATTGTCTACGGAGAGTACGTAGATAGGGCTCTGATAACGTAGCTGGTCCGTAAGTGGATTGGGGCACAAATTTATGACTCTCTCCCAGGTCGATCTGGTCATACACTGCCCTGTTCGGAGTTGCCAAGGGCAGCTACGTGATTTGAAAATTTCGTATGGCGGAACCCAGATGCACATGCAGTTTCCGTAAGACTTTCCGTAGATCGACTATGATTTTTGCTAACGTAATAATATATTACGTTATGCGGAACCTCTCAACTAAAGCTATAACATTACAAAAGTTTCCTCGGAGACAAAAAAAAGCTAGAACACCTAGGAAGAGCCTGAAGGTTGCCCTCTTCCGAAGTGTTGAAATATTATTTTAGAACAGCTCACTTCTTTGCGGTGTTCTACTTGCCGTTAATTCAGACCCCATGTGGCGTCTCTGTCTCACTCTGGCCAGCCATGTAACAACAAATCTACCCTGGCAACTTGCAGACTGCTGCCCAGTGTATTGTCAGCACATCACCATGACTACCCTGGCAACTTGCAGACTGCTGCCCAGTGTATTGTCAGCACATCACCATGACTACCCTGGCAACTTGCAGACTGCTGCCCAGTGTATTGTCAGCACATCACCATGACCTGGGGACCTGTACTGTATACTGTAGGTCATACTCACATTCCTGAGAAGCACTTCGCTTCGCCGTTCTTCGAGCCGACGACATTCTTGTGATCACGTATTGTGCCAGATTTGCGCATGGCCTTGTAAACGCGATCACCTGCAAACACAGAAATTGAAATGGAAAGGCACATCAAAAACGCTCGAAATCCTGCAAAAAAGGGGAAGGCTGTGAAATGTGTCACCTGTGAACTCTACAGGAACATGAGAATAGGGACAATCAGGACCAGACCGAGCAGCCGGCGATAGTGCTCAATGCACCAGTGTGCAGAGCGGTATACATGAATGCAGGAGACAACAGACTCTTTTGCTGTAACATTAAGTTTCACACACTGGACGATCATCAGTCGGACAGCATGCCCACAATTTTGTTCAGAGCGGGCCTATGCACCGTAGCTGCTGTATGAGTTAATGTGCACGTGTAAATGTAATACTAGTAGACCAATGGGTCAGCACCGTTAGGTTTGGCTGGACTAGTAAAGCACAGACACACACAGACACACAGACACACACACAGACACACACACACACGTCATCATCATCGCAAACAGTGTAGTAGGGCAGAAAAACTGCTAACAAGAATGATTGGGATGGAAAAAGACCAGCTGAAAATAGTGTTGGCCAGGTGAAATGGCAAAGCTAAGAGTACCAAACCCTTTACTTGGATAACTCACCACGAGCTGCGATAAGAACATACGAATCTTGCAGAGACTTCAGCTTGAAAGCTAGAGAATGAAGACAAGCACCATCAGACAACACACAAAATTACACAATGCGTTTACCCTAAATAGTTTTCGTCCAACTCTGGTCAGGGAAGGTACAGTGGAAGAAAAGAGAACAAGCAGCATAGAAGGCAACATCTTGCTGGAAGTTAGTGCTAATCTGGTGCATTGCACAGTGAGGTGCAAATAGCAACACTTGGCCAAGCACAATCAGTGGCAAAAGTATCATGCAGATCAGGGTGGGATAGCATAGTGCTGAAGCACGGTGAACAGAGCAATAATGAATAACAACTTGGTGAGAAATCCGTTGTATGGCAACACTGGCCAACGCCTAAATGCACTGCTACTTCACACAGTCGGACGGTTCTTTCTCAACGTTTCGGTCACTATGACCATCTTCAGGATGGAGTAGGCAAGGAAGCAAGGCAGACTGTAAAACAGCAAGCTGGCTAGGTGTGTGCGGAATACAGCTTGCTGAGAGATGACACAGCGAGTGAAACAATTGGAGCAATCGTGTACGCTTCATCTGATTTCACGAAAACATCCAACATGGACAGAAAATTCAAGATGGTGGAACTGGAGATCAAACACCGAACAATGGCACGAAGCCAGAGGGAAATTTTGAATCGTGTTTTCACTCTGCCCAATGCAAGATCACCAAATATCACTTACCTCGCACTTTCTCACGCTCAAATAAGATTGACTCGACCCACTCCTTTCTCTCCTCGATTGTTTGCGTCATACACATGAATGCCTTCTTCTTTTCTTTATCCTGGATGCGCCAGCCATACTGGTAATGTACATTGTTGTTGACAAAACCTGGTAGAGCACATCAAAGCAGTAAAGCAAGGACGTGCATGACACTGAAACAGGGACTGCAATGAAGTACTTATGCTCAATTGTGTTGTGCAAGACCAAGTTGGAAGGAAATATCTTCAAGCAGGACACTAACTCACCAGGTCTCTCAACCATCTCATCAATCTCCAGCATGTCCAGCAGAATACTGCCCTTGAACTGGTATACATTAGCTGCTGTCGCTGATAGACTCAGGTTTGACATTGCTATGCAAAACAACAATAACAACAACAAACAACAAACAACAAACAACAACAACAACAACAACAACAACAACAACAACAACAACAACAACAACAACAACAACAACGCCAAACAAACAAACAAAGTGAATAAGAACACAAATTTACAAAACAAGGTTTTACTCCCCACCAGCTGGGGTCAGGACAAAAACCTGGTGGTGATATCAAAGTGTGAATTTACTAGACATGTGATCTGAAATCTAGCATTGGTAGAAGAAAATTTGAGCATGACATTCAGGCTGTGATATTGCATGTAGCTCATCTAGGATATGCATTGTGTGTGTGTGTGCGTGTGTGTGTGTGTGTGTGTGTGTTTGTGTGCACGTATGTGCATTGTGTGATTCGTACGTGTTATCTCAACGGGCGGCTTCACTGTACTTGTAGTCCTAGACTTCCTCCTGCAGATGAAACGAAGAAAAAGCCGCATGCACACATACCATGAAATGGTGACTGAAAATGGCACAAAAAATCACGGTCCGATTGAGACTCGGCTGAAGGCCGAGTGTTCGGCAAGCGTAGGAACGCCACCACTCTCTATGGATCAAGATCAAAATGGATCAACATGGCACAACCAGCACACAATATCAAGGTGACACTTCACTTTTTCACGTCATCAATCGCTCAAGAAGTAAGTCCATACCGTTTGCCATCCAGCTTCTTGCACTGAACCAGCAGGTGATCGAACAGAAAGAAGTGTCTCTCCTGTGCCTTGCTGGCAGTGATCTTCAGAAGCACACCACACCTGAGCAGCTCGTTACACGTGTCCACCAAGTTTGGACCCTGGACAGAGCAAGCAGCACATCAGGACGACATACAGTAGTTCAAATCAAAGTAAGCAAGGTGGCAACACATTGTTGAGAATGGCACGATCTATGAGGTGACCAGTCATATTCGGAGTTTGTAAAAGTCTTGGGACTTCTTGCAGCTTGATGTGTTCAAGAAAATACACTTGGGTGGGTACACCCATTCCCGCAACACTGCAAAACTGAGCAGGTTAGAATGTTTACCTGACGATGACCACATGCCGAAATGTTGCAAGGTTGAAAACGGAACTGGCTCAGATCTAGGGTGTTGTGTAAATGTGTCTGACCACTCAAGTATTATTCTCTTTATATACATTACGTACATGTGTTCTGTTTAGGCATATTGGCGAGGTTGGACAACATGCAGAGCACTAGTAGCTTACCTCCCAGCCTTCTATACCCGCCTGCCAGTCCATAATTTCCTCTAGCTTCTCCATTCTTCTGCGCGCCTCGTTGATGACACTGCAGACCTCCTTCATGACTTCACACGCATGGTTGCAGTCCTCGTAATCAGGATGATCTGGCCCGGTGTGCTTGCACAATTCCTGTAAAGAACGCGCAAGGCCACACAAGACACAAGAAGCATTAGAATCGGAGCACACATGTACAAGACGCACACACTGAATGGAGACCAGCAGCGCGAAACAACAACTTTCCAGGGAGATCCAACAAGAGTGGGTGATCAACAGTTAGGGTGAAGTGATTGCCAGTGGCCGTAATTGCATCGACAACAGTTTCTACTTCCCTGACTCTTGCCTGCCAGATGTGAGCACATAGAAAAAATGACCTTAGTCATCCATAAGCAAAAGTAATTTCATTTTGGCACGTTCGGTCACGGAACTCTATCCTGGCTGATTGTGTGACAACCGAGTGGAAACGGGACATGCTATTACACGTATGCTGTACCCGTCTGTTCCAATCAGACATCAACTTGCCACCACCACCACTGGATGCGATCTTCGTCCCATCTCGTTTACCAGACCAGCAACAAAACTGCATGTACTCCAATTCCTATACTAATCCTTCAGTCGGCTGCTTCAACCGAACCGCAACTAATCAGTGAAGGCAAGGGAATATTGAGTGGCCAGAATATCCAAGCACTCCTTTCTATACGGACACAGTAACGAGAAACAAGGCAGCACGGTTGTGTTGTTGCTTGTATGCCGGCCAGCCAATAGCTGAGAGCACTTACCCGCATCAGCAGTGGGTACTTGCACACTCGCTGCACTGGCGAGAGGAACAAGCCTTGGACATTAGCCACTGTAGCTGCCTTGCCTAGCGTCATTAGCTGCGTCTGAAAAGTTAGCACAAGCACATAAATGGAGAAAATCCACTCTCACCGTGTTCAGTATTAGGTACAAAGGGAATGAAAGTTTAGCACAATGGCAATAGCCTCCCATGCAGGATCCAGACAGTGATGCCTGGCATGCCGCTAACTTTGCAGCATGGCCACTTCCAGTACTTGCCACTTAGAAGGCAGAATGTGTGTCACTGTGTGTCACTGTGTGTGTGTGTGTGTGTGTGTGTGTGTGTGTGTGTGTGTGTGTGTGTCAGTGTGTGTGTGTCAGTGTGTGTGTGTGTGTGTGTGTGTCAGTGTGTCAGTGTGTCAGTGTGTGTGTGTGTGTGTGTGTGTGTGTGTGTGTGTGTGTGTGTGTGTGTGTGTGTATGCGCGTGCATGCATGCGTGCAAACATGTGCGTATGTAATGAAGGGAGGAGGGGGGGGGGGATTTTACAGACTCAATCATTGCAATGTACAGAGAGGGACACTAAGCGGGACACCCATCGGTACTGGAATGGAGCAACTACTAACACGCCCTCCAGGAGAGAGGCAAAGTGCTTACCTGGAAGAAGCCCTTGAATGGTTCACGTTTCATGACATCGCTGACAATAGTCTGCGCACGTTCGTAGTTGCTACCATAAGTGGAGTACTCCATACGAAGTTCATTTTTCTGATCCAGTCCGAGAAATGATGCCATCCATGGACAGAACAAAAAGGAGAAGTCAGAAGTTTAGTAATACGATAAGATTGGCATATGAACAAAGCTGATGACAACTTGCTCATGGACACATGGCGTGTGCAAAGTGTCACCAATATAATGGCATTGCACAAGTTAATGCAATGCACAATGAAAGGCAAAGTAACACTGACCAAACCGGGTTTTTTTTCTCTAACCCCGAGCTTTGTGCTGAGAAACACTCATCAGACAGTGATCAGGTCCAGCTATTCGCTTGCTATGATTATCAGGTGATGAGTGTGCCGGCATATCATGGTTGAGGTGAGGTGATCCTTTCAAGATCACGGGTACATGTATGTTGGTGCTTAAGTACTGCCAGATGCTTGTGCAAATTATTATTATTATTATTATTATTAACTGATAGCAATGTGTGGTATAGGTCCTAGCCAATGGGTTGTGCTGATAGCCTGATAGTAGTAGCCTGATACTATAGTGACAGTTGTGATCTGCATAAAAGGATCAGGCGGCGCCAGGTATCAATGCTAGAAAAATAGCAAGCTTGATAGGATCTCAGGAATGGGGCGTTCTGTATGTGTGTGCTGCAGTATTGGGGCCGATGTTGATGGTGCAATATCTGCTCCCATGCATCAGTGGCTCCCATCCTCCCCCACGAACACACAAATTGCAGCACATGCATAAACAGAACGCCCCATTCCAAAGAACCTGTCAAGCTGGCTATTTTCTAGCATTGATGTCTAGCGTAGCCTCACCCTTTCATGCAGATTGCCAGGACCCAGGAGACATTGTGTACATGCAAAGCAGAAAATCCATGTGCTATGCATGCGCGCATGCACACACACACACACGCACACACACATGCGCACACACACACACACACGCACACACACACACCGCCGCCACCACCGCCAACGGGTGCAGTCTTACACAGGTGAGGAAGACGGAGGCAACCTTCAGGTCGGCAGTGATGCCATCCTGGACGATCTTGTCAAATGCTGCCACCATGGTGGTGTGCAGCTTGCGCAGGTTGCCCGTATTCAGTACGATGCTCTCGATCATCTCATCGGTGAACTCAGGGTGTTCCGCTTGCGATGATCGCATCTGATCTTGGATACCCTGCGTCACAGAATAAAACACCCAGCATAAGTGCCATCAGTCACACAGAGACAGATCTGGTAATAGCACTGATGAATGAGCACGCCTTAGAGTAACAACTTTTCTCACCTCAATGAACCATTTTCATCTTTCTTCTTTCCCTTCTCCTTAGTTGCCTTGGCTGGCTAACGCTCCCCCCCCCCCCATCCATTTATTTTGGATACTGCCGTTGGACAGTGAATAAATAAAAGAACAAACTAAAAAATATAAAACACAGAGCCTGACTCATTTATTCATAAGTTACACCAAGTGAATTAGCGAGTACAGTCTGAAGCACATGATTTGCTGACTCTCTTGCTTGAGCACATGCCTGTGGGAAGGGCGTGGTGGGTCGGATCCTTTGAGGTCTTGGACACATGCAGCTAGCCAAAGTGCAATCATGGATGTGTGTGTGCATGTGTGCGTGTGCGTGCGCGCGTGTGTGTGCAGGACAGACGAGGCTGGCGCCTCGCGTGCAATCGTCCCCCGCCGGCTGTGCCAAAGCCTAGAGTGTTCATTTGCGGCTGTGGCAGGGACTTCTGTCGGCCCAACGATCTAACTCGCCACAGGAAATACTGCAACTCCTGATGCTATCATTGCACGGAGCAATGGGCATCCAAAGGTCCCAAAGGTCCAAAGGTGTGTGTGTGTGTGTGTGTGTGTGTGTGTGTGTGTGTGTGTGTGTGTGTGTGTGTGTGTGTGTGTGTGTGTGTGTGTGCGTGTGTGTGTGCCAGCCACTTCAGTTGGTGGGTGTGCATATGCCAGATAGTGGTTGGGTTTGTTGTCATCAGGCTTGGCTGCTTGAAGGCATAGCTTGAAGCTGCATGTGTGCTTGTCAATTTTGTTGGTTTCGGGATCCATATTATTATTGTCTATTTGACTTATAGAAGAAGAGGTTGGTGCGACTTGGTGTGACACAATTCCTTGATTTATAGAAGTATCAAGACTTAGTATTACATTCACAGGGATACATGCAGTTGGATCGTGGGTCAGATATAACAATGCTGTCGATTCTATTTCTGCACCGTGTCCTCACCCACATACTGCAGTGTGGTGAGCCCATAAGTGTGATCATTTCCAAGTCCAAACTGAATCTGGGGATGTCAGGGGTGTCGGCCAGTGAGCGGTGGTTCAACAGACAATTGAGAGTCATCTTCCCAAGAAGCTATTGGAATCTCTCTCCTCTCTCCTCGCGAGACCCATGTGACGAGTTTCTGGCAGTGAGCAAGTAAAGTGTGTGTGTGTGTGTGTGTGTGTGTGCGTGTGTGTGTGTGTGTGTGTGTGTGTGTGTGTGTGTGTGTACGGCACGTGATCTTTTGATATTTTGCGTTTACAATCCAGTGTGCATGGGAGTAGCCTGACTTTTTATTTTAAATGTGTATCTGCAACACATGCATGCTCTACACTCCGCTACAGCCTACAGTAGCATACAGACACCAATGCAAGTAGTGGGTGCCCATCTTCCGGAGCGTATGCATAGTATAAATCAGGTTTCTGTACAAGACCACCAGTACACCGTACATCTATTATGGATATGTACAGCGTAGCAGAGTACATTCTCAAACAAAGAATGAAGATTCATTTGTTGGTTGACACAGCGCAGGAATTTTCAAGCATGACTACGTCTATCAACAAGCACAATCGCCGATTTCGTCAAGCTCGAGACTGTCATGAAGAACACAAGGGTGTTTCGTGCATCCACCATAATGGAATTGCAATACCCAGTCAATGGAGAACACAGAAAAAACTTACCGTCGACACAAACTCCAAAGTCTGCAGATACGCCCGCTCCGTATCTACAATTTCCTTCACGGTGCATATTCGCAGTCTACTCGTCTTTTCCCTTTCCTTACTAGCTGCATCAGACATCTTGGTAGGTTTGGTGGAATTTTCCAAATTCTACGTCGGCAAGGCCACTGCTAAGCAGCTAATTTTGTATCTTCTCTCAGGTTGAACCATCCAAACTCCAAGGATGTCCCAAGGCCACCATATCAAGGTTTCCAAACCGCACACTTTCGTTAGGACAGATAATGATTGTAGAGTTCCAGATGCCTGACGGACGCAATGGCTACCAGTGACGATCACACTTCCGGCAACTACGGAAAAGTCAAACTAACTTCGAAGGTCTTCACACTCTGACCTACTGACAAATCCTTTTTCGTCGAAACAGTACAGCCGAGTGCACGCCAAAAAGTGCAAGTGCATGAATGATTCTGATCGAAACGGTAGAGTCTACGGAAAACATGCACAGAGAGAGGATCCGAGAACTTTGCGGTTCGTTGTCTGCACCAGGGAGTACTAAAAAGCCGTTTTTTAGTACTCTCTGTTCTGCACTCTGCAAGCCTTTTTGGACTTGATCAAAATAATGGAAGTCAGTTACCTTGGTTTCCCGCATCTGACGCTATCCTGGCGCATGGCCATGGCATGGCATGGCCAGGCTGCATGCTGTCAAGAGTACATGTACAATCATGTATCTCGTACTCTTGATGCTGTCAACTCTGAACTGTCATCATGATGCGCGCTATTACCATGTATAATACACTACCATGGCTACCGACCTTATAAAGCTTATTGCAGGCTCGTACACGTAGTCGTACTGCGTACCGGTCCACGCCTCCACGTGCCACAGGGGGAAACCGGAAGTACGAACGCTGTCTCGGTCGACGAGTTTCACTTATAATTTGTAGGCATTGGCGGATAATGCTCGAAAAGGTGGCAGATTCTGCTCGAAAAGCAGTGAAATTGGCAGAACCATACAAACCTTATGGCGGGCAATTCCTCGAATTCTGCTCCACTTCTTTATCCGCATACCAAACATGCATGAAACTTACCAGAAAAAGTACCGAATTCTGCCAATTTTTCTGCCGGCATTATCCGCTTATGCCTACTGTAGTTTCACTGTCCGATCTTCTTTCAACGACCAGAGTACAGTACTAGTATGCAAATTATGTACGAGCAAGCTGCACTTTTTTTGACAAAACAGGATGTTTGTACGGGGCAATCATTGTTGTACGCATCCTGAACTTTACTTGGCGCGAGTTTGCGTTGTTCAAAGTTTGAGATTCGGGGCCTCTCGCAAAATTCGCAAACATTTTACGTCGCAATAGTTCACAGTACTCCCTAGTTTTGTGTTCACTTGCTGTGGGATTTTGTGTGCCTTTTCAAGTTCTTTGAGAATCCAAGCATGTACGATCTCGTACCGGTATACATATATTTCCAGAAAAACAGGACAAGACAGTGTCAAGTACCAGTAGAAGCGCTACACCAACTCACTTGATCGCATAATACTGTACATTGAGCAGCAGTGAAGTACCGACAACCGCAGAAAGCTGATTACTTCAAGAAACAAAAATCAACGGCACCCGCTTTACCCTGCCCGCTACAACCACTCCCACGTGCATATTATAGCTTTACATGAAGTCGGAAAGAGAGAATTCAATAGACTCTTGCTTTGGAGCCTGGCACATCTTCTAAAGAGCTAATGCCAGCAACAAACAAGCAACATATTTGTCGGGAATATCACACGACGAAAAACCGGCTGCCTGGAATGGATTGGACTGCACAGGCTCACACTTCCCACAAGCCTAATTGGCAAATGGCAATGGTGGTCTTGGCGACAATAATTTAAGCAAGAAAAGCAAAACTTAAAGCACATTTGAATAGTGCATCGTACAAGAGCCTCTTCAGTCTTCATGCAATGCACCCTTGTACTGACTCACAACCGGGTAGGAAGTTAATAATAGAAACCGCCGCCTGAACCTAAGCAGACGTAAATACAAGGGATGTTGTTGTTATCATGACACGCAGTCTATTGTACAAAAAATGACCTTGTCGTCCCCAAAGGTGTGTGTTTCATGAAGGCCAATATTGCAGTTCAATGCGGTAGTATCGATAGCATAATACTACACTGTAGTTCAGTATATGAAATATTATTGTTATTTGTATTTACAGTATGCTACATTGTGCTATATACATGTCAGTTGCAAGCAGAGGGCCGAAAATTACCACTTTCCGAATCCGTCATGGCCGCCGAAACCACCACCGCCGCGACTTCCACCACCACCACCGCCGCCACGATTTCCACCGTACCCGAACCCAGAATTTTGGCCTCCACCACTGCCAAATCCGCCACTGCCACTGAAACCACGGCCGCCACCGCCACCGCGACTTCCAAACCCACCAGAAAGATTAGAATTATCGCCAAACTTGCCACCACCGCCACGGCCGAACCGGTTTCCACCAAACGCACCAGGATCTCCTCCAAATCTACCACCACCGCCACCGCCGCTGCCGCCATACCGTCCCTTACCACCACGAGGTCCACCTCCAGAAGCGCCTGGGCCAAGACCAAGGCCATGAACAATTCCTTCCCATGGCTTGGACTGGTCATGCTGCTGGTTGTAGTGAGGAGCCTCAGTTAACTCCACTTCAACTTCTTTCCTCAAATCCATCATGAAAGTACGGTCCTGGCTGTAGCAAAGGAGAACGCTGACACCCTCACGGCCTCCACGGCCAGTGCGACCGGAGCGGTGAATGTAAAACTCAACACCACTCGGCGGAGCACCGCACTGGATCACCAGCTCCAGATCAGGCACATCCAGTCCTCTTGCAGCTACATCGGTAGACACCAGTACTTCAAAGCGACCGTTCTTGAAGTCACGGAACACCCGGGTGCGCTGGTCTTGGCTCTTGTCTCCGTGCAAGCTGCAGCAAGAGATACCACAGCGAGCTAGGTAATCACCAAGGTTCTGCGCAGAGCGCTTGCTCGGCACAAATATCAAGCCCCGCTTCGGGTTGTGTTCTTCCAGAAGACTCATTATGCACGCGACCTCCCGGCCTTCGTCACACGGCATGACGAGGTGCTTTACAGTGGATGGGACGCGCTTCATGTCCGAGGTCAAGTCCACAAATTCAGGATTATTCATGAAGCGTGTGGCCACGCTGTGTGCAGCACGGGGCATAGTGGCACTAAACATCATGGCTTGCTTGGACTGGGGCAGCTGTGCCAACATACGCTCAATCTGCATCAAGAAGTTAGGAGTGAGCAACTCATCGGCCTCATCCAAGACAAGAAACTGAACATCATTCAGTGGCAACTCGCCTGCCTCGTTGAAGTCATTTAGTCGCCCAGGTGTTCCGACGACAAAATCAACATTGCGCAGGCCTGTTAACTGACGATACCGGCTATCACCTCCATAGCAACGGGAAACCCTCAAGTGTGGAGCCAAATTTTCAACCGCTTGTGCAACTTGGATACAGAGTTCTCTTGTTGGTAGAATGGCCAATGCACGTGCACGTCCAGTTGAAGGTGTTTCCGAAAGAGAGTGAACAATGGGCACAGCAAAACACAGAGTTTTCCCACTGCCTGTAGCTGCGCGTCCAAGCACGTCTTTACCAGCTAGGGACATTGGGATCGTTCTCGCTTGGATCTCAAACATAGATGCAAATCCAAGCTCCTTCAGACGGGACTTCACACGGCCAGCCAACGGCAATTCATCAAAAGATCCTTGATTGAATTCAGAGCCTGCATTGTCCGATGGTTGCGGTATCTGAAAGCGCTGCCCAGAAGTCGATAAACTTCTGCTAAGAGCAAGAGAGAAGGCTCTCCTCGGAATGAGAGATAAAGCCATGGCGAGGATAACAAAACGAGGCGATTACACTAGAAACAACATGTTCAGAACTTCCTTCGCTGTGAAAATAATTTCAAAAAACATTATTTAGATCTTTCGAAGCTGAAATCTTTTGCTTCTCTATCCTCAAGTCTCTCATTGCGCAACGAGGGTCAGGTCAGTCGGTCAGTCGCGCAACCAGCGCGCAACAAACTTGACGCCATTTTGGAGCTGTTGCCAAGGACAGTTGCCTTGGTACCTGGCCAAGCTTTCACATGGAGTCATTTGTACGACTGCATGATTTGTACCAGGGAGTCGTAAAAGCCCGGGAGAGGACACGGCACACATTCCCAGAAAACATCTTTGCCTCGCGCTGCCGGGGAACGCTGCCAGGGAACGGTGTTGCGAGGCAAGGAAATTATTATTTTCGAAAATTGTGATGTCTTCTTGAAATACTAATTGGGACATTCTCCGATTTCTCTTAGAGCACGGAGACGATTGCTCCGTCGAGTCTTCTGATCTCTATTTTCATCCTCAATTCTTCCAGCTGCCTCACTCATTCTCTCTCAGTTTATCGAAGTTAATTTATTCTGAGGCGATGGAAATGCAAGATAAATCCCTAATTGTACTTCAATTTTATTTGAGTTGGGGTGAACGAAATGAGATTTGTGGAAAATGACGCCACTTCCCGTGTTAGCCGCTGGTCGTATCATACAGCCCATATTCCATTGCAGGTGATGGGCGAACGTTCGTGTTGAGATCCGCTGAGTTTCCTCGTACTCGTGGAGTTGAATTTGTGGCAGAAATTGCACTGAATTGCAGTCAAATGGTTGTGAATGAAACGAGATTTGTGGAAAATGACGCCACTTCCCGTGTTAGCCGCTGGTCGTATCATACAGCCCATATTCCATTGCAGGTGATGGGCGAACGTTCGTGTTGAGATCCGCTGAGTTTCCTCGTACTCGTGGAGTTGAATTTGTGGCAGAAATTGCACTGAATTGCAGTCAAATGGTTGTGAATGAAACGAGATTTGTGGAAAATGACGCCACTTCCCGTGTTAGCCGCTGGTCGTATCATACAGCCCATATTCCATTGCAGGTGATGGGCGAACGTTCGTGTTGAGATCCGCTGAGCTTCCTCGTACTCGTGGATTTATGAATTTGTGTCAGAAATTGCACTGAAATTGCAGTCGAGTGGACTTCTGTGCGTGTGTTGTGAGTGAATCGCAAAGGCTCCCTTCCTTCAGCATCGTCAAAACGCAACATAGAGCATTATTACGCACTCGTTCCATGATTCATGATATTGCCTGGATTCTTTTAAAAACAATCAATGTGTGTTCCCTATCTATCTACATTGTACATGGTTGCAGGTCGTTATTTATTATGTAGATCTTGTTAAAATTTTCTACACTTTTCTACTCGTATACTGAGTACGCGGTGACTTTAGCCGTTTAGGAAACGGAAGGCTCAGCCTCCAGGTTGGCCAGAAAGGTTCTCAGTGAATCTAACCGAAGTCTTGGCGAGTGTACAAAAGGTAAACCTATCATTTGTACTTCATAACGGAATTGTGCACAAAAATGCACACGCACGCGTGCGCGCACACACACACACAAACACTGTACAAACACACAGAAAAGTACAAGCACATGTGCACATACACACGCCTCCCCCCACACACACACTCAACTCCCACCCCCTGTACCATGTGTACTGAGTCTGACAGACAGACACACAATCATCTGATCATGTTTATGCTTCCTTCGCCACCAGTTTCGGATAATGGTGTCAACAACGAGTTGTAAAATATTGGTATTTTAGGACTCCCTGCCCCGAAGACGAGCACAGCGCCGTGGATCGTGCAGATCCGGCCGCGCCGGCCTACCGTGCTTCACTTTCTGGCCGAGGCAAACATCGTCCGCGTGCGCGCATCCCGTGTCCTCTCCCGGGCTTTTACGACTCCCTGATTTGTACCACATCCACACCCGGTATACCCGGGGGTACCCGTAGTCCCGTACCCGGATTCGAGGTAGGGTTGTTTTTTTTAATTCTTGTAAATGTAATCCGTGTCCCTGATGATCTACAAAGTCATTGTAGATCCTGAAGAGTCGTGACTACATTTTTGATTCACTGCTGGTAGGGGAGTCGAGAATCGATCATAGCCAAAGACGAAGATGACTTCATTGCAGGTCAGTGCCAAAACTCAAGAGTTTGTTTTGTAACGTGTCTGCAGGTACATGTACAAGGTAATCGTTGGGAGAATAATTATGGAAATAAGAAGATTTAATACGAACGCACTCATCAGCAGTCACATGGCAACAGTTGAGATTTAAAAGACATTCACCAGCAAATTCATCAATTTTTTAAATTATCATCACAGCTAGCTGGTGCCAAAAATATCCCGACATATCACTAGTGCCGTAAAATCCCACCAGGGCGCCCCTATCTCCGCCCCCCCCCCCCCTTCGAGTAGGTCCAGGTGGGGAGGGGCGGATGGGCGAGTCCTATTTGCCGCATTCAGTACTCAGTACTTGAAAAGTACTCACCCTACGAAAACTGTTTGTGCATCTCGTACACCGACCAAAGGTCAATTGCAGGGAGTCGTACAGACCCATCAAAAACTCAGGGTTTGTGCGATCCCTGGTCAAGAGGGTGGGCATCGTTTCGTACATTTCCAACCGGGTCGAGCACACGTCTGCAGTACAGTACGGCATCACAGAGTCATACGAGGATACATGTACAATTAATCACTTCCCTGACCAGAAGTCAGGGAGGGGCGCATGGGAGAGACGGGGTGCTCTGGCGGGATTTTACGGTACATGTACCAGGGTTCTAGCTTCTAGCCATGAAAAAATGTAGGAGGGGGGAGGGAGGCAAGGGAAACAAATAGTTCGCCCATCTTTTCCATATTCCACTATTGCCTTTTACCAACAACAAGTATTCAATGTACGGGTGCACAGAGCACCCTAAAACGATCAATTATTTGTGGCTGCATTTTCACTGTGTGAACTGAAAACACAGAAAAATCGAAAAATGTGTATGGTGGTGCGATATCAGAGTAGGGGGTGGTGGGCATGGTTTCCATAACAACTTTTCCAAAACCGTGGTTTCACCCGAGTGCGTGGGTGTGTGTGCATGATATGGTGCAGTGGTATGTGCAGTCGATTTCCAATCGGGAAGTTGCGGGTTCGATTCCCGACGATTGTGGTCACACACGTCTTTCTTCTCTTTCTGAGTCTCCTCCAGACTTTCTTTCGTTCTCCTGGGTGGTTATAGGCCATTCACGTGATGTGCAAACTCACTTTTTTTAATCGTACCGTTTCCAAGGATGTTTACTTGTACCGTATATTCTCTATTATAAGCGCAGGTCTCCATTACTAGCACAGTCTCTAATACTAGCACACTGTGAGCACCTTTCGAGACATTATAAGCACGGTCTCTATTATTAGCACAGTCTTGGTGGAAATCAATGCGGCATGCATGATATCTAGCATGTATTTCTTCTTGCCCTGTATGGATGTATTGGTTGAAACAATATAAGCACGGTCTCCAATATAAGCGCAGTCTCCAATTTAAGCACGGGGTAGAGGGGTGTTGAAAAAATATAAGCACGGCGCTTATAATAGAGAATATACAGGTATACGATAAACTTGAACACACGTGTGCAACTGATTTTTGAACTTGGCCAGGGCCCTTGTGCTCACGATTGTACTTTGCACGCAAGCAGAAGTGTCGGTTGTTGAAACTGTGCACTACAAATGTAGCGTGTCAACTATTATTTCAAAAGGGAAATTTCAAAATGAAAAACTTCCGGCATTTTCAGGAGGTCACTATGGATACATTGACGCGTGCAAAGTTTGGCCAGTACCCTGTGAACTAGGTCACGGCTTGCAAGTGACTTCATGGTCAGACGCGTGCATGTGTTTGCATGTCCTGTGAATGGCCTATTCCCAACAACCAGTGCATGCCGGAGTATGTGGCGTGATGTGTGTGCGGGAGAAAGATAGAAAACGACCAAAAAGTAGGAATTCACTTGCCAGAAAAAACCCATAAGATTTGAGATAGCTATGCTGTGTAGACCAGGCTGAATAGTGGCGGTCAATGCTTCAGCCTTGCAAGCTGTTGAATGGTACAATCCCAGCACAAGTTACTATGGCTTCTGCTGTAGCATCGCTATCATCGCCTCCGGCGTTGGGCGTCAAACGGTGTGTGTGTGTGTGTGTGTGTGTGTGTGTGTGTGCATGGGTATTGTGACGATTTACTGGTATCAGACTATCGAGCATGAACAGAGCAAGCAAAGTTGTTGATTCTACGTTGTGTTTATGAACTTCATTACTGTAAAGCGTGAAATTTTCGCGGCGTTTTGAGTTCGCGTTTTCAGAATCCGGACAGGTTTGCGAGGTTTTAATTTTGCGATTGCAGAATGTGCTACTATATAGTACTGTGGCATTCTTGCTAAACCTTTCATGGATCTCCTTTTCGCGCTGTCTAAATTTCGCGATTTCCACGTGGTCGCGAATTTCGCAGAAATTAGACCATCGCAATAATTTCACGGTTTACAGTATGTATTTGCCGAAATCCAAGAGAAAGAAAATACAGCAACTGTATTCCAACAACGATGGGGAGAGAACCCCTTCTTTTTGAAGGAAAAAACATCAAAAGGAACCAGAAAGCCAGAAAAAGGATACTGGGGAAATTCAAGTGCAACATAACCGCACAATGTATGTAGTACAGTGCAGGAGAGCCCTGCGCGAGTACGCAGGATCGGAAGAAACATTCGAACTGACGGAACACGTGTAGCACTACACCGTACACGTGTACCGCGTGGAAACAAACAGAATAAAGAAAGTACAAAAATGTAATGAGTTATGACTACCTTTCCACCACAGTAACTAGATAGTGAATCCAAGATTTATTCTTATCCACAGTAACTAGATCATATACAGTCAGCTGTGCGGACTTGACTGTCAGTGTCGCTAATGCAGACCTTCATTCACAATGCGACCGAGTCGACAAATCACGAGCCAATTTGTCAACTTTAACGTTTGGGTTTGCCCAACGTCAAAACACAGGACTCCACACGCGAACTCCACTCAACAGCTCCAGACAACACAGGTTATGGATGGAACGATATAATACATGTAGATCGTGTTATCCATTTACGGGTAAGTGGAACGGGACCACAAAGTCAACCTTGATGATACGAACACTATCCAGTCGTGGGACGGCGTTACGACTAGGTTGACCACTTTGCGATACAGTTGCATGTTGTTGTGGAAGAGGCAAGTAGTCTTGGCGCCATAGCTGCCAAACTGGGTGAGAGTATGCTGTTGCTCTTGCCATCTCTTCTTCAGTTTCTCTGATGGTTTCTCTGGTGCTGCCAAGTACTCACCGTCATCATTGTTGTCCTCCAAACTTGGAAGCGCCATGTCCATCTGCTTACCTTGCGTCAGGAAGTGTGCTGGAGTGAGCACCGTGACATCAGTGTCACTGTTCTCACTCGGGACATGCGTAAGCGGCCAGCTGTTCAGTACTGCCTCCACTTTGATGATGAGGGTAACCATTTCCCCAAACGGTAGCTTCTTCTGGCCACTGGACTTTCGCAACGTTCTCCCCGTCAGACCGATCAAATGTTCATAGATGCACCTTGCCACGGTGCTAGCTTGGTTATGAACTTCCACCTAATGTTCTTGAGTGAGATAAATTTCTGTACGGCCGGATCAGACGGAATGATTGAGATGAATTTCTGTACGGCCGGATCAGACAGAACCTCCTGCCAGGTGTCAGTCAGTGTTGTAGCCGCCAGTTTGAATTGGGTTGCATTGTCGGAGTAGAGCATACCTGGCATACCACGCTGTGACACGAAGCGTACTGTACGCAGTACAGTGCAGGAGAACCCAGAGCATGGGTGCACAGGATCCGAAGAAACTACAGCAGAACACGGGACGCTTGACTACACGGCATTGCTGTGCTTTGCGATAAAACATGCCAAGGATTATGCGAGGTCAACGCGTAACTTGTGCCAGAATGCCGATGGTAGGTGATTATGCCCGAAAATTGCGAGCCAGCGTTATCGCGTAATCGGCAGGGGTATAGCAGTAACAGTACAACATAGCAATGAAATGTTAACCATTGGTAGATACACCAGGGGTATGTCAGAATGGCGGGTGTTGGGAGAACGTTGCACTGAAGTACAGTCTATTTGGCCAGCCTTGCGTATACACTCACACCTCGTTGATCCAGGCGGTCCGAGACCGGGCACTGCCCGTAACTTTGAAATGTCCGTAACTCCGGATCACATGCATTTTGTTGGAGAAAGCCATAGATATTATTACTTCACTATTTCCACGAAAAGTGACTAAAGAGTAGTAAAATGTCCACTGAAACCTGCCCAGGGGGTGCCTGGTAGACCGAAGTGCCCGGTAGACCGAAGTGCCCGTAACAGTTCAGGGTCCGGGTAACCAAGGTATGAGTGTACCGTTACTTGCATGACAAAATGACGTTGACTATTGTGCCTTCCCGTGCTACTGACTGTGTCGGGTGATAATGCAGTGAATCTGTTAACGTGCAACATGCTCTCTGTGTGTATTTTGTTTTACGTAATCGCATTGTGGCTACAGGTTGAAAATGTCCAGTTGAACACCGGTGCGAAAATGCCACTTCTCGGACTCGGGTTAGCAGTTACTGTCTGTTGTGTGTTTAGAAATACAAAGTAGAGACTTTTTGTTTGACGGTGTTCCTTGATTTCCTATTTGTGGTTGTGGTAGTGATACGTATGTGCTGTAGAACTTGGAGTCACAGCAGATGCTAAAGCCTTGCTTCGTTTTCCATGTGTCCTTTGCCACGGTGCAAGTGGCATATGGCATATAGCCGTTAGGAAATGAACCTATTGCTTTGTATTTACTTTGTCCGTAAGACTGAAGCGGCACGCATGGAGGAGTCCATGGCATGTCTCATTGTTCAGCGGGGACATTTTCGCTCCACCCTCCTGGTCATTCGGTGAAAATCTGAGGACAACGGTTAGCAGGCCTGGGCAAAAATGAGTGGCTCTTAGTGCTAGGCAATCTCTTCTTATCCACGATAATTCTGTCGGAACAAGGCTATGCGCTGTCTTTGCGGAAGGTTTTTAAGTTATGAGCTTTCATTGTGGAACCGAGCTTCTGTACATCGCTGTTCTACAAGCGCTGTGAAGTTCTATTCTGGGACTTGATGTTCGAGGTTGCCGATAAACAGAACGCTGTCTTTCTTGGCGTCTTCGGCGCAACTAGCTGCCAATACCCTCCTTCGCTTTCATCCATGTTGGGTTTGGAGGATGGTCAAGCCGTTTAGGGCTGGGTACGGGCGTTGGCGGAGGTTTGATGCACGAGTGCCTGTACAGTACCATGTCTGCCAGATAGTTCAGCTTTCTTTCTCCTTTTCAACTTGGCCTTGGATTCCACCATTGCCGAAATTGGGCAACTTTGTGTATCACTAGTATTTGGAGGGTTTCATATGGGGCACCACCTGCAGCTCTTGATCAGCTCTGGAGAGTTCACCAATATTTAGATGAAACCCTCCCAATACTAGCAAGAGTACATAACCCCTCAGAGTGTGCAACTCCCTCAGAGTGTGCAACTCCCACATACCCTGCTGTCCCGACAGAATTTCAAGTTGACGTCATTATTTATGACGCAATGCTCCTTGCACCAGTGATTTACAACATGTGTACGGGTGTCAACGCATCACACGTTTTTCTTTGCAATAATTTGTACAGGATCGACCGGCTTCGGTCAACCACAGGTTCCGGATTCGTCTGATAATCCGTGTACAGTGCAGTGCGCATTGCATCATCAAAATGACGTCAACTTGAAATTCTGTCGGGACAGCACCCATAGTGGAGTTGCACACTCTGGGGGGGGGGGGGGGGGGGTTATGTACTCTTGATACTAGCAAGAGTACATAACCCCCAGGAGTGTGCAACTCCAGCTATGGGGTCTGCGACGGCAGAACTTCACATCACGTGATGAACTCGTACACATTATTTGCACTCTGTGCATGATTGATACAGGGTTGTACGAAACCCAGCTTTGGGTACAACTCTCTTGTGATCACTTTGCACTGTTTGCCAGTGTAACCTTTTGAACCATGTCACGTGATGTGAAGTTCTGCCGTCGCAGCACTGCATAGAGGCCGGTCTCGAGGCAGGGCACCATTGTTTTTGATCCAAGAGTACCCGCGACTCCCCGGGTTCCCCTCAGATGTGTACAGTATTATGACGCAAAGATCCGATTCCGCTCGACCAAGACCCTATGCAGAGCTGGATCAGGCGTTGCACACTCTGGGGGGTTATGTACTCTTGATACTAGTGATACACAAAGTTGCCCAATAAACTTTATTCAATTTTCAATTCTGAAAAGATGTACCGTAGTGACGCGCATATAAGCGCATGTGCCAATACCCGGGCATAAGCGCACCCTCACAAATAAGCGCATGGGCTTAGTGAACCTAAACGCAGTATGTGCATAATTATGCATGGTACCGGTACACTAGCAACTGAAGCGCATGCGCATATGCATATGCGCCTATGTGTGAGACAAAACGACCTGCAAAAAAATTGCAAAAAAACGCAAAAACTCACTCATAAGCGCATGTGCCTTGATGTGCGTCACTACGGTAGTAGTTCTTACCATAGCTATGACCTTTCCTCAAGTTTAAATATGTTTATATTTGTTTCTGTGCTTGGTTCAATTATGTTTACTGCTTTATTAATGCTGCTTGTCAGAACGTGGCTGTCCGAGAAAGGGAAAGTTGGCGAAGCTGTCCAGGAGGCACTGAAGATTGGCTATCGCCACATCGACTGTGCTCACATCTACGGCAACGAAGATGAGATTGGCGAGGCGCTGGCGGCCTCGTTCACTGGTGACGTGGCCAAGCGCTGCGACGTGTTCGTCACCTCCAAGCTATGGTCAGTGGCATGCAGGGCCAGGTAGTACTGTGCTGAACACACAACGGGGGAATCCCCATTGCCCTCTGCAGCTGTTTCATGATGTCAGGCAGTGACAAGCATGGTGCACGTCTTGCAGTTTTATGATGACTAGTGCTGTGCATAATTACATTGGTACAACGGGATATTTTTTTACGGTACATGTATCCCACCGTGATGCAAAAAACCTCTCTCCCGCCTTAGGCTACTATTATAGTTATATGAGACACACTGTAGACTTCAGATACATGTAAAGTCAGTTCAAGATACAATGAATGAGTTACTGTTGTTGGGAGCAAGAACTGGCATAGTACTGTATTTCCGCTGTAGATGTGCGCGCTGCACTTTTATTTCGGAAATTAGGCTTGAAATCCTTTCTGCAGCTTACACCTTGGCAAAACTGATGATAGTCATGGTTGCTGTCATCTTTTTTCCCGAAAGCGTTATTTGTACTTGTATTTGGTTGATGCCTAATAATTTAGGTCGACTGACTTTGCACCAGGTGACGTAGAACCAGCTTGCCGCCTAACACTCAAGAACCTACAGCTGAATTATGTGGACTTGTACTTGGTAAGAACTTAATAAAAGAAGCATGTTGCAGCACAGTGCTGGTGCTTGCCAGTGTAGTTATTCTCTACCTGTTCATGTGTACGCATGCTGGCATGTCAGTGTGGTCATTTTGCTTGTGCGCGCACTTGTGTGTGTGTGTGTCTGTGACTCTGTGTGTTTCTGTGACTCTGTGTGTGTGTGTGTGTGTGTGCGTGTGTGTGTGCGTGTGTGTGTGTGTGTGTGTGTGTGTGTGTGTGTGTGTGTGTGTTCTCTGCTCTGGTGGAGGACGGTTGTACTTTTTTGGGCTCTTGTTTCTGGCCTCCGTCCGTGCTTGTCCTCGCCGTTATGGACGGTCTGGGGTGTCCCCAGCCGTCCAGGCCAACAGTGCCTGACGTGGGGTCTTCAACGACAGGAGACTTGGTCGGATAGTTACGATGCCGACACTCTCCTCGTCGCCCGCACCTCGGAGTCCTTTGTGAGGCTTTGCAAGCCCGCGAGTGGAGCAAACTACCACACGAAGACGACGACTTGGAACGACTCTGAGCATTGGCTCATGGAATGTTCGCCCTGTTGTGGAGAGTGATGGACCAGTTCAAGCGGCAGCTGTGAGAGGAATCGTTTCCGATGATAAAGCAGATCCATAGCTGCCAGAGATGGCTCTCTCGAACATGGTCTCTGAGTCCCGGACCTATTACCTCTCTCTCAGCGGACTGCCGTCACTCGTCGTTCCATATTGTTGGCCCCGCAAGGGGACACGTGACCGTAATGGCAGTGTTTACCATGACCATGATGTGTGTGTGTGTGTGTGTGTGTGTGTGTGTGTGTGTGTGTGTGTGCGCGCGCATGTGTGTGTCATATGGTGCATTGGTATGTGCAGCGATTTTCAATCGAGAGGTTGCGTGTTCGATTCCCGTTGATTATGGTCATACACGTCTTTCTTCTCTTTCTCAGATTCCTCCTCACTTTTCTTTCATTCTCCTGGGTGGTTACCAACAGCCACTGCATGCTGGAGTATGTGGTGTGATGTATGTGCGGGGAAAAAAATGAAAACACCACAAATAGGGATTCACTGGCCAGAAAAAGTCACTTCAAATAGCTGTATGATATAGACCAGGTTGAATAGTGGCGGTCAATTCTTCAGCCTGGCAAGCTATTGAATGGTGCAATCCCAGCACAAGTTGCTATGGCTTCTGCTGTAGCATTGCTATCATCGCCTCCGGCGATGGGCGCCAAAAGGTGTGTTTGTGTGTGTGTGTGTGTGTGTGTGTGTGTGTGTGTGTGTGTGTGTGTGTGTGTGTGTGTGTGTTTGCATGCGTGCGTGTGTGCTCAGTTGCACTGGCCGGTACGCTGCCGACATGGATGTCCACCTCCAGGACAGTTGGCAGATGACGACATCATCGGATATTCACCTGAGCTGATCGCTGAGACTTGGAAGGTTAGTGCATAGTTCTGCTTCTCTGTTTCTGCAGTACAACATATCCTGGGGATGGAGTGGCATGCAGTACAACATATCCTGGGGATGGAGTGGCATGCAGTACAACCAAGAGTACATAATGTTGTACTACATGTTGTACTGCATGCCACTTCATGCCCAGGATATGTTGTACTGCATGCCACTTCATGCCCAGGATATGTTGTACCAAGAGTACATAACCCCCCAGAGTGTGCAACTCCCACATACCCTGCTGTCCCGACAGAATTTCAAGTTGACGTCATTATTTATGACGCAATGCTCCTTGCACCAGTGACTTACAACATGTGTACGGGTGTCAACGCATCACACGTTTTTCTTTGCAATAATTTGTACAGGATCAATTGGCTTCGGTCAACCACAGGTTCCGGATTCGTCTGATAATCCGTGTACAGTGCAGTGCGCATTGCATCATCAAAATGACGTCAACTTGAAATTCTGTCGGGACAGCACCCATAGTGGAGTTGCACACTCTGGGGGGTTATGTACTCTTGGTACAACATATCCTGGGCATGAAGTGGCATGCAGTACAACATATCCTGGGGATGAAGTGGCATGCATTATCCCATGGTACGGTACTATAGACCAGCGACAAAATGCACTACACAGAACCGTGAGAGGGTGGGAGCATGCCAATGCAGAGTGCACCGTTGGTACAGTGAAAGTGAACGGAGAGAACTTACCTCCGCGACTACGTCCAAAACCAGATTCCACACAAACAAACACCGAACTGCAATCACTATTCAACTCAACACTACGACACAAAGGAGACTTCGAAGTGCATCTGTTCTCATTCACTCTTTGTAAACTCGAAAACTACACAAAGTATCACCATCCGAGTGAAAATTACTAATTGCAAGGAGAGATACCGTAACAACACGAAAAGCACAAGACGTGAAAGCGAGAGGAAAAATCTTGTACAGAATATTCAACACGGTGTGAAAGAAGGAGAGCTCAGCAATCCATGTGTGATGTAGATAAGATATGGATGCAAGATGCGACCCGCAGTGATTATCATGACATTGTATCCAGTACGATTACCACAAGAACAATCTAAAACGTAGATGCTGCTACAAATCCAGTATGCCTATAATATAACAAGATCAACGTTCTTCTGATTGCATAGTGGCCGATGGTGATACAACCAAGAGTCTTGATACAACGAAATGCACTTTACTCACTGGTGCCAATGTCCGACGATATGTACAATGTGGTTACTGCTGCACGGACAGTGTTCAGCAAGGATCCCAAACCGTTGAAAGTTCCACGCCGATCCAATGACAAGGAAGTCAGCACCAGCATCCATAATGACGTTGTATCTCGCCGTGACTTAAAGTATGGCCCTTACTTTGAACCAAATGACTATGTATCATAACAGTTAACAGTGCAATCTTCGTCAATTCTCTAGTCCAACTACTAAAATGCAACTTGTCTCCCGAGCTCCATCGCTCTCAAACCTTGACTGGATTGAAAAGAAAGGCAGCATCTTGTTTTTGGTATAGCTGTACCTTGGTAATTGTATTCAGAACGCAGTTGCGTCGATCCCCAAAATGCGTAGATGTACCTGGGATAAGTAGGATATTGACCCGCGTACTCGGGTGTTACCGTACCCTCATATCATCCCTCCTGCTACGCAGTCTGGATGATATTCGGGAGGTAACACCCTCGTACTTGGGTAATATCAAGAGTGCATAACCCCCCAGAGTGTGCAACGCCTGATCCAGCTCTGCATAGGGTCTTGGTCAAGCGGAATCGGATCTTTGCGTCATAATACCGTACACATCTGAGGGGAGCCCGGGGAGTCGCGGGTGCTCTTGGATCAAAAACAATGGTACCCTGCCTCGAGACCGGCCTTGCGCTGGTGTGGAGTGTACGCATGACATCAGAAGATCCGATTCCGCTCGACCAAGACCCTATGCAGAGCTGGATCGGCGTTGCACACTCTGGGGGGTTATGTACTCTTGATAATAGGGAGGTTTAGTCCCACGTAATCCGTGGGTACTTTACGTGTGTGTACCACGTGATACTCAGTGACCCACGTACAGACGTTTTCTGATTCACGACATACCGTGTATGGAGGCTCACCCACGTTCCGCCAAAACGTGGGTGAAAATCAGAATGGAGCGCATTGTGCGAGCTGTGAGGGTGCTCAGCTGAAGAAGTTTCCGAAGCACGAAATCAAAATATTGGATGAGCTTCTTAGGCCCGGGTAGCTTCGTCTTTGACCAGGTTTGGGCCTTTCGCTTTATGCTTTTGTTTGTTCCGTGTGACTAAACACAACATTGCAACGTGGGTGCCCTTCATCCACTTTACGTGGATCACCCACGTACGCGTTTCCGTTACGTGGGAACTAAACCTCCCTAATATCCTTTAAATTATACTTATAAAAACCTCCATTGATTGTCGTGTAGGGTTAGAAGTTTCTATACTTCATACACACCTGTATAAAAAACCTGGTGGCTATAAAGAACCTGTATAAAAAACCTGCCGGCTATAAAAAACCTGTATAAAAAACCTGTATAAAAAACCTCTTTTTAGGGGTAGATGAGAACAAGAGATAAGAGTATTCAAGAAAACAGTACAAACAGATGCAGAGCAAGATCAGAAGAGCACAAATTGAACTGGAAAGGTTAAATAGTCCACTCAAGAATGGTAAGATGAGAGACACATACATATGATCAAAAGGAGAGAATTGAGCTACTCACTCCTCGTCTTCCTTCTTGGGCCTCTTCGCGGCCTCCTTTTTTCTTGTCCTTGAGGACGGCATCGAGGAGCTTGTTGGCCTTGACAAACACGCCACGCTTCAAATCGAAGCCCCGGTCACGGTCATTGACTTCTCTCTGCAAGGCTCCTCTTGCAGCTATTAGACTGGCCCGTTTATATTCCTTCTTGTCATGAGTTCTCACGGAGCAGTAAAACCTTTCGAGGATTTCCGCCAGTACCTTGTCTTCGACAGTAGCAAAATCACAAGACAAGCTCTCCTGCATCAAAAAATCGCTGAACACCTTCAACCAAAACTTCGTTGCAACTTTGGTTGACTTAGGAACTGCTGATTCCAAAAGTTTCTTGCTTTCTTCTTCAGAAACGGACGCAAAACGTCCAGTAGACGTTGAAGAAGCCATTACACTCGTAAACCAAAATAAACAACACGAGGAGAAAGTTGAAACACGAGGAGTAAGTTCGAGCATGCGCCAAAATAGGTACGAAAATCCAAAATGAAAATCGGTTTTTATAAGTATAATTTAAATAAAATACATACTTCGTCCTCGTGTTTACTCGAATTATAAAAAACCTCCACAAAACCCTCGGCTTCGCCTCGGGTTTTGTGTCGGTTTTTTATTTCTCGTAAACACCTCGGACTCAGTATGTATTTTATAAATACGTACAACATATCCTGGGGATGGAGTGGCATGCAGTACAACATATCCTGGGGATGAAGTGGCATGCAGTACAACCAAGAGTACATAACCCCCCAGAGTGTGCAACTCCCACATACTGTAAATCATATTATTTTAACGACCCGCAAAGTTAACGATTTTCTGATTTTTAAAGGTTAACGGTTTGAAAAGTTAACGATTTTCTCAGACAGATTCAATAATACTAGGACTGCTCGTCAAGGACATTCATTCATGATTGTTGTCCATCACATGCACAGTATACCTCGATGTCAGGAGAATAAAGAAAATGAAATTTATCCAGTGTAAGAGCGCAAAAATTCAAATTTTTCGATCTCCCGCCGCTTCGGCAAAATTCATCTGAGAGACTTCGAAGTTGTTCGAGCCGACTGCTGAGCGTCTCTGCTATCATCTAGATCTTTCAATTGTTGAATTCCGTTGAGAATTGACCGAGTTACGATCCGTTGAACACGCGCTGCATGCCATAATGTGAAATGATCGATTTCAAGCGTGCGAGGCCCAAATCATACGACTTTTGCTAACGAATTTTAAAATAACGACAAATCTTTGCTCGTTAACTCGTTAGATTTACTTGTTCGTTACATATTCATGATTTACAGTACCCTGCTGTCCCGACAGAATTTCAAGTTGACGTCATTATTTATGACACAATGCTCCTTGCACCAGTGATTTACAACATGTGTACGGGTGTCAACGCATCACACGTTTTTCTTTGCAATAATTTGTACAGGATCAATTGGCTTCGGTCAACCACAGGTTCCGGATTCGTCTGATAATCCTTGTACAGTGCAGTGCGCATTGCATCATCAAAATGACGTCAACTTGAAATTCTGTCGGGACAGCACCCATAGTGGAGTTGCACACTCTGGGGGGTTATGTACTCTTGGTACAACATTTCCTGGTGATGAAGTGGCATGCAGTACAACATATCCTGGGCATGAAGTGGCATGCAGTACAACATATCCTGGGGATGAAGTGGCATGCAGTACAACATATCCTGGGGATGGAGTGGCATGCAGTACAACATATCCTGGGGATGAAGTGGCATGCAGTACAACATATCCTGGGGATGGAGTGGCATGCAGTACAACATATCCTGGGGATGAAGTGGCATGCAGTACAACATATCCTGGGGATGAAGTGGCATGCAGTACAACATATCCTGGGGATGGAGTGGCATGCAAAGAATACATGTACCGTAAAGTACCGCCAGAGCGCCCCGTCTCGCCAGAGCGCCCCACCTTGATTTTACAGCCAGAGAAAGGAAAATCGTATGGCAGAGTGCAACGAAGTTTGTACGATGTAAGAAGCTTAGTGTTAAAGGTCACACTTGGCAGGTTTTTGTGTGGAGCTTGTGTCCGCTCGAAGGTACGGATTGACTGCCACACGTGCTATATGTGTACAAGGTTCATGTCGTATGACCTACAGACAGCAGACCACCTCCACAATACGACCACGAAAGGATGAGATGGTGGGGCGCTCTGGCGGTACTTTACGGTACTAGTACTTTCACCGAATACCGAATACATGTACAGTGGAGATTGGATATAACGACAAATCGAGTTTAGGCCCTCTTCAGACTAGGTACAAAGCAGCCTATAAATCACATTTACATAGAAGTTTCCAAGACAACAACAAGAATCTGGCGGGAAGCCTAAAAAGCTGCCCAATCCTTTCAGGCAGGGTGCCAACCCTTGTACAAGGCAACTTTCCTGCATTTATCGTACTTTCACCAGGCAGTTGTACGAACTTTGTACCCGGGTACGACTGTCCGCTGCTTTCACACATCCCAGGCCCCTTGCGCAATTTCGTAGGGTCAAAGGTTGCCTGTATATTGCATGTAGAATGTGTAGTCTGAATGCAGGCATGGAAAAATGTTGCCTTTTGGGTTTTATGTGATTTTGTACTGGATTTTCTATGTACGTAGTCTGATGAGGGCCTAAGCGACAAATTTATGTTGCCCGAGTCGTTTAGCAAGTCCTTTCTGTACATTATAGATCGGGTATAACGACCTCGAAAATAACGACAGATCGAATTTACTCACACTTTTTTGATGCCCGAAAACCTGAAAATGCGTATAATATAACGACTTTCCTCTTTTACCAGGCGGGTTGGCATGCATGGGACATGTGTGTGTGCCATGCCCGGACCTCTGGGTCACTCCACGCGTGCTGGTAGCCGCAGTGCAGCGCGCGGTGTAGTGGCTATATGCATGGCTTTTGGCTTGAACTATGCATGCAAGACACATGCGCATGCGCATCTGAAATCCATATGCATTATAATTATGCACATGCATATCTGGAATACATTTCTGTCATTTTGATATACATATTGCATTCTAAATGTGAAGATCGGATTTAGTGACAGATCGAAGATAGCGACATGTTTTTCTCCCGAAGGAGTGTCGTTATATCCAATCTCCACTGTAGTACCTTTCTGCTTGAAACCATTCAGGCCTTTTCCCACCACTTACTGGCTTGGCTTAGGGTGCTAACTAAGGACTTGGTTAGTAGATTGAAGATCATACCAGGTATTATTTGTTCTGCAGTCATGTACATGTAAAGTGTTTTCGTGGTATTATTTGTTCTGCAGTCATGTACATGTATAGTGTTTTCGTGGTATTAGGCTTCTAACCAGGTTACTAATAGTAGGTGTGTGTGGGGGGGGGGGGGGGCAGGGGGGACTGTTACCCTACAACCCATTTTCCATTTTCCGAAATTGTCCTGCCATGCGAAATGCAATATATGGGGGCGAACACCCGACTTTCCTCCAAACAAGTACCCTCTGTAGGAAGTTCAGTTCCGGCCCATGTCAGGCCAAAAATGCAGTCACAACTCACCTGTAGATTTTAAATGGGGCCCGGATGACAGCTCTTTGGCCTGACTTCGAGCCCGCTTTTATCTGATCCCATGGCCAGTACTCCCTTGTCGATGCTATTTTTAGGTAGCTGAGGTCATTACCTTTCCATTGATGCCACACATGCCTTGCTTGAACAAAAATGACTGCCGCGCTTTGCGCGGAGGCAAAGCGAAGCACTGATCTCGACCAGATGCATACTCGGCCCCGGGATGAACACCTGATTTTCGTGTTTAGCAGCCTCGAATTAATCGAAAACAAGAGGGTTCTAGAACATTTAGGCTCGTGCTTTTTCGCGGTAGAAGGGAAATGATCACAGAAACCAGCTCACGCGATTTCCTGGTGGTGGACGAAAAAAATCGAGTGAACATATTGTAGAAGTGGTGAAGGTGAAAACGTGTGAGTTGTGCAAGTAGGCGCGCACACCATGCATGCGCACATCCTGTATCAGCATGCACTTCAGTTCGCACCTGCATGTACGCACGAGATAGTGCAGTGCGGCCGGCGAGACGTCTGGCAGGACGGCAAGTGAGGCTACCACTGAGGCCACACGTTGCTCAGCACCGGTGGTATTCACGGTAGTTGCTGGTACGGACAGCGGTGTAGTCCTCGGTCAACTAAGTACGCCTCTCTGTTCAGCTAAAGTTGGGGTACCACCAGCAAGGTGTCTTGTCTATAAAACTGCTTAAAAAAGTTGAATTTGAAATTTCTTCTATTTTGATCAGACAAGATATCCTCTCTCTACATGTGCTCTGGATTGGTTATGTTAATGTTGCATTTCCTGATTGGGTTTTGTTGGTCTGTCTTGTACAGGAGATGGAGAAGCTGCAGGCGGCGGGGCTAGTCAAGGCTATTGGCGTGTCTAACTTCACCATTCAGCAGCTGACGGCACTGCTGGAGACTGCCGACACAGTACCTGCGGTCAACCAAGGTATGAAGAGAACAGCCAGACTTTGAAAACTGGTATAGCGGTGTGTGGACGCAATCTAGCTTGGACACACTTGTTATTGTAAGTACATGACGTATTCTGTGTTAGTCGCGTAGGAAAGAAACGGTGCTGCGTGTGGTGACTTCATGTTGATGTCGTGCTCTGCTGTTTTCTTTCTATTTCCTTGCCCGGGCAGTGGAGAGCCATCCGCACTTCCAACAGAATGCCCTGAAGGAATTCTGCTCGTCGAAAGGTGCGTTGATGTTTGCAAAGTGATCACTTTCTGTACTGTTTTTTTAGGAGTTTTTACTCCCACTGTGTGCCACGTGTGCTTTGCGTGTGTGTGTGTGTGTGTGTGTGTGTGTGTGTGTGTGTGTGTGTGTGTGTGTGTGTGTGTGTGTGTGTGTGTGTCCCAACTGAATGAATATTGTAGAGTGTGATGTGTCATGCACAGTTTTCAAGTATATTTCTCATGGACTGGATATGTTTTTGTCGACCCTAGGCATCGTGTTTGAGGCATACTCACCACTGGGTGCTCCATCGCGTCCACCGCGTGCTAAGAAGGAAGGCTCGGCCGTGCTGCTGGAGGATGAGGTGCTAACGTCGCTCAGCGAGAAGTACGGCTGCTCGCCAGCTCAGGTAGGAGAAACAACCGATATCGCGCTAGCAGCTCTAGGCAATCTCTCTGCGTCGCACGTCCTCCTTTGCAGGCATCTTGCACACCACACACACCACACACACCACACTTACGTCTTCCCAGCATCTGACACTTGACTGTGTCATTGTCATTTGGTGTGCACCTGACACCGATTCCAGTACAGTGAAAGTGCCAGTCTAATCCGAGCAGCAGCAGCAGCAGCAGCAGCAGCTTGGGACAGAGCACTGTCTGTAACTAGGAATTGCCCCTAACTCACAACATGCATGCTTACTGCATGCAAGTAAACTTTTTTTTAAAGCCGATCAATAGTTTTTGGGCCGTTTTTCATTGAAACGCAATTTTTGTGACTCTAGATGGGTGAGAAAGGTGCCCGGTTTATGGATTTGCCCGGATTAGGGGCATCCACTTTAGGGGAGTTTGTACTCGTACCCGCTTCATGGGCAAGAAGTGTATGGAGTTTTTTCCTACATCTCCGTATTAAAATAATGTTGCAAACACGTCTTCGACCTTTGGGTGTTCTTAGGCTCGGATGTTCAGCCGAGAAAAAGCTGTTCTTGTACCACTCAGATCTTACAAATGGTAGAGCTTGGGTTCAGTGAAATCGGAAAACTTCATTTAACGAAAATCACTAAAATTTAGTGATGAGTAAAACTAGTACCCCGGTTTTGCAATGCTTGTAGTGGATATCGTGCATGGAAGAAACACCTGAGGGTAGTAAGTACATGTTGTCTTACAGGCTGTATGTGCTACTTCCATCCTGCTCTGCTGCTTTATCACCAGGTTTCTTTGGCATGGGCATACTCGAAGAAAATTGTTACCATTCCCAAGACGGTGACGCCGGCGCGGCTCAAGCAAAACCTGGAGAGTGTCACCGTCAAGCTGGACGATGAGGACATCAAGAAGATCGACGGCATCGATAAGGATATCCGCCTGCTTTATGGTGGGTGGGCGCACAAGAAAGGGCAGACGGCGCACGACTTCTGGGGTGGTTCTGGCGTGTAGACTCACTGTCGTGATCTCGTTAAGCTCATGGGCTTGTGTTCTAGTGCCGTTGCGAATTTCCCAGTTCTCATTCAACTTGTGAACCCGCAGACTTTGCCTTTGCGACTCCGATTTATCCCGAGTGTGCTGGACACACCGCTCTTTATGTGCCTTTCTACTTCTTTTTTCTACTACTTCAAAGTACTTGGATTATTTTTGATTTTTTTAGTCCCTTTTTGCATACATGTAGAAAGGATGGATGTATGCTAGTCTCTTTAGTTTTTATTCTTCTGAAAACAAAAAGAAATAGTTGCCTTTCTCGTCCAGTCTCAGTTCGCCATGGATGTAGCAGTAGCGCAAGCAAATTGTCCGCAACGGTCCTAATAATGGGTACTTATGCCATGTTAACGTAGTGTTAGGTACCTCCTCCCGTGCATTCTAAACTTCTAAAGCCATTTTCCAAGCTGGCCTGCATGCACCCTTGTACTCACCTTTTGTCTCCTTTTGTCACCTTTTTTTCCATTGGCCTGGGTAGCTACTTGGGTGCCCATATTTGCCATAACTACAGGCCCTTTATCTTACATTCTCCCTGACTCGATCTCTCTCTCTCTCTCTCTCTCTCTCTCTCTCTCTCTCTCTCTCTCTCTCTCTCTCTCTCTCTCTCTCTCTCTCTTCCATAATGTAGTGGTTTCATTCGTCTTTGTCTCCGTCTCTCCATCACCCCTAATAAATGTCGTTCCAACTACCTGGTCCCGTTGTCCGTTGTGTCTGGGAGGAGCACCCTTTCTGTATCTCAACAATGGCGCCCGACTTTCGCTGAACCCGTAATAAATATCATTCCACCCACCTGTTCCCGTTGTCCACTAACACGGCCGCATATGTGTAGGATGGCCGGTGCATGTCACTCATGATTATTATGTGCATGCTGAACCTAGGTCGAAATCTTTAGGAGGGGGGGGGGGTACACATGTCCTCTGTGCCTCATGCGGGCTACGCGCCTGCACGCACACACACACATACACACACACACACACACACACACACACACACACACACACACACACACACACACACACACACACAAACACATAATTATGTGACATTGTGTGTGTGCGGGCGCACGGGCACACGTGTGCGCGCGTGCGCGAGAGAGAGAAAATAAAAGAGAGCACGTCGAAGAAAAGTCAGGCTAGAGATTGAGAAATTGACCATTCACATAAGAATCCGGCAAGTTGGATTCTGACGACGAGATTTCTGTATTGAACAACGCATGCACTGCAGCAGATGTTGCTGTGGACATAATTGTGCGCAATGCGAATGCGACCACTCTGCACGCATGGAAAGATGTGCAAGTACCTGCACATGTAGCATAACATCCAGGTACCAAAGAGTCGTTCTAATATGCAGCTCAGACCAACTAAAGTTACACTATTATAAGCTTTCAAAGGGAACTTGACAAATCGCTCTGTCCACCAGGCGCTACAGTGTGAAGCAAAATGTTCCTTAGATAGAACCCACAAACTTCGAACGCCAGTGATGACACGAAAATGGAATGCCAGTGGTGGAAATAAAGAAGAATATCAGAGGATAAGCACTTCTTGAGAGGCACATCATCAATGAAGTCCTATAGAAACCCATGGGACTCTTCATGGCGTCTCTTCATTTCCGGTAGGTTGAACAGCACATGTTCATGGCCAGTGATTTCCAAGTCTGTTGTCAGCTCCTCAACCTGGATATTGTAGCGACCAGGTCGGATAGCCTCCACACCATACTCATCCACAAGAGCTAGTTCTTGAGGACCTACCGTCAAATGAACAGTGGCTGTTTCACCAGCTGCAAGATGGACACGGCCAAAGTCAAATAACTCCTTCAATGGTGCATCCGGCTGTTCTTGCGCCGTGATGAATCCAAGTACAGACACGTCACTGTCCATCTTGCCAGTGTTGGTCACATCCACTGTGTATTCAATGCTGTCTTCTTGACGACCAACTGCAGCTGCATTAAAGCTACGGTGTGACGACAGGAGTGGTGTGCTCCAATTGTAGCTGAATGTAGTGTAGGATAAACCATCTCCAAACGTCCAGAGTGGTTTTCCAGTGTAGTAGCGATATGTACAGCCTGACTCATTACGCAAGTCCATGTTGAAGAAGCTTCTTTTGGTGAAGTCAGCCGGGTAGATTGTGTAGGGCAGTCTCCCTGATGGGCTGACTTTGCCGAAGAGAACATTGGCAACAGCATCTCCGCCCATTTCACCAGGGTAGAATGCTTCAACAATGGCTGGAACGTTGGACTGGATCCACTCGATAGCAAGCTGGCCGCCATTCATCAGAACAACAATTGTATTCTTCTGGGCAGCCTGGACGAGCTCTACCAGTTCTTGCTGCACACCTGGCAGCTCAATAGAGTTACGATCACGGCCTTCACTCTCCTGCCCGCCATTGATGCCAATGAACACGATGGCGACATCGCTGGCCTTTGCAGCAGCTACGGCATCGGCGATGCCTTTCGTGTTCGAAGAGGCAATGTCACATCCCTGGGCGTACTTGACCTTGCTTTCGCCCAGCATTGCCGTAATGGCCTGCAGCGGAGAGTGGCTATTCACCACTGTGTTGGTACCATGATAGTTGCTAAGCATGTCTTGCGTAGAGTTGGCATGTGGACCCAGCAATGCCACCATGGCTTCCTATGGCAACAGATATGGGAAAATAGAATATGATTGGCACAGGTTCCAAGATCACATTTTATTCTTTTTTCCTAATTATTTTGCAATGATTACAGCTCACAAGACAAAAACCTGCATAACGGGAGCACAGTGTAGTCACTTTTATGTGGTTGTAAAGGCAATACCTGTTTATAAAATAATACCTGCGGGGTGCATGCAATGCAGCTATAGCTAGGTTTTCGATGAGGCATCAACATACAAGAGCCATCATCAGCATTGATCATCATCAAACAGTGCTGTGCTGTTCCCCAACCGACTCTTCTGGCAATCGTGCACCCTCCAAGACTCTCAAACCAGTGCAATTGGGCAAAACTGAGCCAAACAAGGGAAGACTGCGGTAAATGTCACGGATTCTTGGCTTGCAGGTGTCTGGGCGTCGTGAAATGCTTGATAACGACTACTCACAGCAGTTGGAATAATAGCCGCAGTTTTCTTAGTTGAGGCTGCAGCCACTTTCAAACATCATTACATGCGTACTGACTTGGAGTGACTAAGTACCAGATTCATACCACTACAAGCTGAACACCTAACTAGGGAAGCGGACATGGCTGATTGCCGATCTCGGAGCTCTACAAATGAGCATTCTAGTACCTTTGTTGGGTCAAGTGGCAGTATTCCACCCTTGTTCTGCAGCAAGACAATCATTTGCTCAGCAGCCGATAGGGCCAGTTGGCGATGATCAGCTGTATCGACATTCGCCGGTCCCAGGGTCTAGCACAAGAATACAGGGCAGAATTGGAGAATACCGCAATGATGGTGAGACCAGTTCACTTATATTACAATCATGCATGTACTTCACTGCATATAAGTACCGTGATTATACGTATGCTTGGATGAGACAATTGTAGTGAACAGTGCACGAAAATGGTTCCCACAGCTCCTTGTGCATGTTCCGCAAATGATTCAATGATGACCTGGACACCATTGAAGTTAACACGATCTCTTCAAGCATATGGCCAATAGATACCCCGCACATGAGTAGAGCAGCAGCACCTATACATACAGCCAGCTCAGCCAGTGTTCATAGTCCTAGCATTGCTCTCCTGTACATACAGCCAGCTCACCTAGTGTTCATAGTCCTAGCATTGCTCGCATGTACATACAGCCAGCTCACCCAGTGTCCTAGCATTGCTCGCAGCTTTGGTGCATGGTGCCATGCATCAGAGCGCATCTCACTTGTTCACCCTGGCCTGTACTATTCAGTCCATGATGCAGTGTTTGCATTGCTGAAGGCAGAACTAACCTTGTAGTATTGCTTGTCCGCAGGGTCCAGCAAACCCAGCCAGAACATGTGCTTCAAAATTCTTCTCACAGCAACATTGAGATCACCCTCGGACAAAGATCCTCCATTGACGGCGTCCTCCATGTGGCTGCCATAGAACCCACCACAGTTCAAGTCGCAGCCACCGAGCAAGCCAGCTTTGCACGTGTCACCCGGCGTAGATGTGTACTTGTGCTTGGCAATGATGTCATTGATAGCGCCGCAGTCGCTCACGATGAACCCGTCGAATCCCCACTCGTCGCGCACGATAGTGTTTTGAAACAGAGAGTTGGCACAGCTCGGCACTCCGTTGACGGCGTTGTATGAGCACATGATTGACTGGGCGTGAGCACGCTGTACACATGATCTGAATGGCACCCAGTAGTACTCGACGAGATCACGGTCGCTGACGATGGCATTGAAATGGTGACGATCAACACCACCCCAGTTCTCCAGGTCGTATGCACTGAAGTGCTTACATGTTGAAACTACCTGCACAGCCGGGTCAGAACACCAGAACCGACAAACTTTTAAATTGGGACACAGCACACTACAATACGCTTTAACAAATTAATAGTTCATCATATCAGGTGATGTGATGATCGTGCCTTCATCATCACTGCGGCCTCATTACTAAACGGTGGGTCTTACCTATAGTATACACTGGGATAAGATGTACACTTGCCCAGTGCATATATCATGCAGAGTGCGGATGTATTACTCCATAGGAGTTTGGATAAGAAGTACCCCGGATACAAAGTGCACTTTCCTGTTCCCCATGGATGTCTTGTCTTATCAGAATTCCACCGCATCTATCATTATAATTCACTATAGTCAGAGCAGGACAAATATGCCATTCTCCTGTCGTTGCTCAACACTAGTACAATGTATCTGGGATGTTCTCTATGTTTGAGTCACATCTGGTTCTAACACGATCACCAGTACCTCCTCTTACTTTCAAGTACTTAGGATCCACACCTTCTTGCAGACCTCTGGAGTAATGAGCCACATACTCGGCTGTCAAGAAAGGATCCTCGCCAGGAACTTCTTGACCTCTACCCCAGCGTGGATCTCGAAACAGGTTGATATCAGGCGCCCAGAACGCCAAGCCCGTGACACCTTGGTTGTTGAGGGCACGCGCTTCAGTGGAAATGGTGCTGCTAACGTGAGACCAGAGAGAACGATTGAAGGATGCCCCGAGAGCCAAGCCATGTGGAAATGATGTTGGACAGCCGGTGCTATCGGATCCTGACGCAGCACCACAGCCACTCAGAACACCATGCAAGCATTCGGAAAACTGTAGCTTTGGTACGCCAAGTCGTGGTATGCCGGGATTGCGGTTTTGGATGAGCTGTGCCTTCTCATGGAGCTGCATACGGCTCAGCAGATCATCTACTCGATCGTCCACAGCGACTGATCTATTGCAAAATGGGTAGGAGTTGAATGGTGCTGTAGAGCAATTGACCACAGTCCCGGCATCCAAACACAGGGCAGGATTCTGCACGTACCGGAACAGGCCGCTGGTTTCATTGTAGATGAACTGTTCGTTTGCAGCATTGGTGCATGGCCACACATAGATGTTGCTGCCCGATGTGTTGCCAAAGTCTTGTGCGTCCACACAATGTCCATTCATAAGGCTAACAATGGTGTTGTGAGTGGTGTCGTATTTGAACTGCTGATTCCATGGTGTAGTGGTAGGGTGAAAAACCTACGTTGTAAGGCAGACGACCACACATACAACGTAACAGTTACGAACATACCCGTCATACACACAGACAGACACACAGACAGACACACAGACAGACATACAGACAGACATACATACAGACAGACACACAGACACACAGACAGACACACAGACATACATACAGACAGACATGCAGACAGACATACAGACAGACACACAGGCAGACATACAGACAGACAGACACAGACAGACACACAGACAGACACACAGACAGACAGACAGACATACAGACAGACATACCTACATGCATACCTACATGCATGCCCAGAACAACAAGGCATAAGGCTAGTATTAGTAGTTGGCTGCAACTCTGACTTTCACGCCATGCAACCATCAGACAACAAGAATATGCTGTTGGCCATATCTGTATTTATACCAGGAGAAATGTGTGTGATTTTTGTGGTGTGATGCTATTCTTTGCATACATACATGCACACAGACAGATCGCCGGAGAGACAGACACTGGACCATGGCACTGTACTATTGGACCATGGCACTGTATTATTAATTTTTGTCGGTGCATGTATTGCTGGATGCACATGTACATGTACATGTGCATCCCTCCCCATAACATTGAGATTGAGACCAAACAGGCAGTAGATGCCTTCATACATGCCGACGACCATTCATAAGTTAATTACAAGCTTAGTTATACACCAGTACTACTGTCTATAGTGCACGGCATGGACAAGATTTTAGAATGGAGCATTGGAGGATCACGGCTCATATGCATGGCACAGGATCCCGGACCAAAGCCAAAGGCCTCAAGGCCCGATATCCCTATTTAAAAGCTACATTCATTCCCAGCGCAACATTGATGTCGAATGCGTGATACATGTATTTGTGACGGAAACGATCAAAGATTGCGTACCTGCAAGTTGGCTCCGCTATCGTTGCTGTATTGCAGAATATCCAGCACCATTCCATCGGCTTTTAGGGCAATGACGTTGTTAGGGTAGCCACCCGTCTTGATCACCCACTCCTGCCGCTCACCGCCCATGCACTCCCAAAGCTGCACGTTGGTCGAATCAGGAATGTCGTCTCTAAGCCGCTGTCCCGCTGCTTTCTCTACCGCAATGCCGAGGGCCACTGTCACGGTGAGCCAAAACAGCGTTCTTTCCCACGACATTTTCTCTGTTGTCTTCAGAGCACGTCCTTCAAAGACGAATAGTGAATGTAGCAACTGATTACTTGCTTCTATGCCTTCAAATTATTTTCATCCAAATCTTCAATCTAGACGTCCCATCCACACATGACTCCCTTATCAATACAATAACGTTGTGCCAAAGCAAGTCCGCAGAGCGACCATGGTCCAACCCACATTTTGACGATTCGCCGGGTTACATCACGTGATGCGCATGACTCTTCGATCCGGTGACCATTGGTTGACCATGGCCCGGGCATGGTTGACATCTCCGCTCGACACAGTCCGGTAATCTCAAACCTTCTCGCGGCCCCGACGGTGTAATATGTAGGACGCGGACAGCCTTGATGTCTTGATCAGTGCATCGAGCCAGCGGGTTTTCTAGGCAAAACTTGAGAGCGAAGACGTTCCGGCGTTCAGAATTTCTTCGACCATAGTCTCATAGAGGAAGAGCCAATCCATAATAGCTATTGACAGCTGGTCGTTGGGAATTAATTGATCATTTGTCAGCATCGGATTGGACAGTGGCTTGTTTCTGAGGAGCCGCGTTACCATTACACCATGAGTGGCAAAGCAGTAGGCGTCGTGGTCATACTGACCGTTGCTGCCGCTCTGTCCCGCTGCAACCTGACTGAAGATGTTCCAAACTTCACAAATGTTCAACTGTGGGCCTGCGATGGCGGATTGCGACAGCAGTGGACGATGCAGACGGGTGCGTATCCTAATAACACTGTCAATATGAAGCAGCTACCCAACATGGTCTTCGACATCAACGGATGGGGAAATAACTCTGGATCGAACCTTCAGGTAGGAATATCATCATTCCTGCGGCTTCCAAGTAACTCCTGCGTGCATATCGCGCATGGCTGGCGAGTAGCCTACACAGACAGTGGAGGCTCGCCCTTTGGGGTTTATCTGTCCCACGTACCACAAGCAGGACTATGGTTGCATAGTGACTGCGATCGTGCATCTGCTCGCTAGCCGATACAAATGGATACTGTGTAGGGACAGGACCAGTCTATGCGTCCTCTGGTCACTTGTGTGCAACAATGAATGAATAATAATTTTATAGTAGAAAGTTCAACTCGGATGGTGAGCCAATTAAATTATGGTGAAATAGGAGAAGGACAAAATCGGTTCCTTGAAGTACTTGTTGCCATGATGCATAGCTCGTGCTCTTCTTTGTTGCGCTTTCCTTCCCCTCTTGGACCTTTCCGAACCTGAGCCTTCCAAGCTGGAAGGTTGTTGGTTTGCGCCTTGGAGAAGTGTTGGAGCGAGGTGTTAGGTCGCCGAATGTCTCAGTACTCCTTGTCAGTTTTGTGCCATTTTGTCGCACTCGCTGACTGCATAATAGCCCTTGGCGGATTATGCCGCCATAATATTTGGCATAATCTTGGGATTTCGTCAAAAAATTATGCTCCAGCATAATATACGGATTCCAACGTGTAAGGTCGGCATAATCTTTCGGTTTAGACAAAAATTATGCTTAGGGCATGGCCGTGTGTGTATGCGTGGTTTCTCAATCCTCTATGTACAGCGTGAATACATAGTGGAACCGAGCATAATTCAGCATATTTGTTGGCATAATTGTGGCATAATCAAAAGCATAATTTGACAATTGGCCGAGCATAGTCCGCCAATGGCTTCTGTATAACATCTGGTTACGTTGGTGGACAGTTAGTCATAACTCGTACAAGTAACATGTTGTCCTTCTCCTACTTCACCATAATATAGTAGAGTACCGATTATCCGCACCTCTTGGGGCGCGGGCTGTCTCCAGGGGGTTCGGATGAGAAGATTGTTCGGATAAGGGAGCAGTCACACATCTATCTAAAACATTCATATTCCAGCATGTTTTCATCGTTTTGCTTTCTTTTTGGCAGCACAACAGGGACTAGTTGCACTTCAGCTCCCCAAAATGACACTATCGTTATACACGTTGACTGCAACCTGCTGTAAGATATCTTGTGCATCGCTTGAATGGTGCTCCAAGTGGGGAATATCAGCAAAAACCTCGAAAAAGCTGCATTGTCCAGCCCGACCAGGCGATCTGGATAATCAATTACCTGGGTAGTTGACATCCGGATAATCGGCGTTCTACTGAGACTGTGCCACTATATTGAAATGTACTGAGTTCCATGGGAAGCCTATGAGATGACAATAGTCGGTTGGATCCCCAAGTGAAATTTTTATCAACAACAACAGCGATGCGCAGGGGAGACGGGCACCACTCTCCTTACTCTTCACTAGGTACTTGGTTAAATGGGGAGTCAAAGCCTTTTGATGAAAATAACCATGCTCGTCTCATTCACAGCGGCCTCGTCCTGTGCACTGAAGAAAGATTGCTCTACCCACCTGGTACTTATGCACTGTGAAAATGGAGGACGAAATTACGCTGTAACTACAATAATGAGGCTTTGGCACTTGTGCAAGTCACTCAGAGACTTATAGTGAGTCTTATCCTCTTAGTGCAAGGTGCTGCATGCATCTGCCGTTGGGCTGCTCCGGCTTAAGATGAGTCGTCTGGTGCAAAGCAAGATCTCTGAGACTGTACGGAATCACTACAACAGAAGTACTTCAAGTAGCAACGGCCATTGTATGTACTACCGATATCAGTTTTCCATTCCTCATACAAACCGTAGTGCCTGGGCTTTATCTACACAAGGCCTGGGTGTTCCAAAAAACCTCTTTAAAGTTCTGCCCTACCACATCCCAGCTCAAGCGTCTCTTGAAAGTATGCTTTCATGGATAATGCTAGGATGGTCCTTTTTTTTTTTTTATGACTTGGGGCTCCCCGCGTGCTAGAGTGTACGTGAAGTGTGTGGGTACAGTGAGGGCTGCGTCCCACCCGCCTGTGTGGATTCACAGGAAGTGTGAGTTACGAAGTCTGAAGAAAATGTTGAACAGTCTCTGCTGGGATGACGACTACACCATAGCTCAGTGGTTAGAGCATCGCTAGCTACAAGCGAGGGTCCCTGGTTCGAGTCCTGGTGGTGACAGTCAATTTTTTCTTCAGACTTTTCCCGTTTGTCTCTTTCCCTCAAACTAATGAAGATGTTATGACTTGGGGCTCCCCGCGTGCTAGAGTGTACGTGAAGTGTGTGGGTACAGTGAGGGCTGCGTCCCACCCGCCTGTGTGGATTCACAGGAAGTGTGAGTTACGAAGTCTGAAGAAAATGTTGAACAGTCTCTGCTGGGATGACGACTACACCATAGCTCAGTGGTTAGAGCATCGCTAGCTACAAGCGAGGGTCCCTGGTTCGAGTCCTGGTGGTGACAGTCAATTTTTTCTTCAGACTTTTCCCGTTTGTCTCTTTCCCTCAAACTAATGAAGATGGTCCTTTCTCCGAGAGATTTCTAGTCTCTCTGTTTTGTGTTTTCTTCGCTTCACTTATCTATCTTTTCTCTTTTTTGCCTTTCCATCACCATCATAACATTAGGTGTGAGCGTCCAGGTTTGACTTGTGATGTAAACTAAAATAGATACAATGCAAATACAAGGAATGGTGACGTATCCCAAGATTGTTACATGCAGTCAAGCATCATTGGAGACTGTCCTGGGGGGGGGGGGGGGGGGGGGGGTTCAAACTCTAAAATGAGTAAATGGAGCCTGGAAGATTCCAAAAGTCAGCTTGGGATTGCAGAAGTTACATTCTTGGAAACCTGAGCCTACCTATAGTACGTACATAACACATTGTTGACTAGTGGTGTGGTTTTACAGCCAAGGGTAGAACAATTGGTAAGGTGATACCGTGACAGGATTGACAGGATTGACATGATGGGTAAAGTCTGGTGAAGTGAGATTAGGACATGATGCATATGGGCATTCTTAAAATGTTCCTTCTAAGGTATTGATTGTAGCCCTGGGAAGAATTCCAGCAGGCACACTCCTCATGATAATGTGTGCCCTTCAATTCCAATTTTGGTTTCTTTCAGGTGTTTGGGAAAACAAACACAGCGTGGAACGAGCAGTTTCTCTACTTTGCAACAAACAAGAGCATTGTATCACTGATGAATCAGATGTGCATAACCGCTACCGGCGCATCGAACACAACAGGAGCAAACATCGTAATGGAGCCATGCAAGGCCAACGCGGGGAACCAGCAGTTCATGTACAGCACACAGGACTCCATGTTCCACTACGTTCCTAACAGCGATCTGTGCATTGATGCTGGCACCATGGTAAATTGTTCTATAGCGCCATATTCGGCCTATGCGTATTGTGATCCATCGAACGATGTGGACACACGTGTGGAGGACCTGCTCTCAAGAATGCAACTAGGAGAGAAGACTCAGATGCTGCAGAACAACAATCCGGGAGTTCCCCGGCTGGGTGTTCCACACCTTCGCTTTTCCGAGTGTTTGCACGGCGTGCTCAGTGGATGTGGCTCAGCATCGGGACCCGACAGCACAGGGTGTCCAACATCCTTCCCACATGCCTTGGGGCTTGGAGCCACGTTCAATCGTTCTCTCTGGTCAATGGCCGGACACACTGTTTCTACTGAAGCACGTGCCCTCAACAACCAAGGTGTCACGGGCTTGGCGTTCTGGGCTCCTGATATCAACCTGTTTCGAGATCCACGCTGGGGTAGAGGTCAAGAGGTTCCTGGCGAGGATCCATTCCTAACGGCTGAGTATGTGGCTCATTATTCCAGAGGTCTGCAAGAAGGCGTGGATCCTAAATACTTGAAGGTAAGGATTTGTTTAAGATAACAGCTCGAAAAGTTCTTATTCCTCAAATTCATAGTGATGTATAGATCGTGGCTTTGGACTTGGGGAATATGAAGCCATTTCCGGCTGTCATCATTGGTTGTAACTTGTATTGGATCGCCATTTGAAGAATACATGTGGGACAGTGGTGAAGCCTGGATTCTGTTCAGTCAGCATTCTGTGTGTGTGTGTGTGTTTTTGTATTTGTGTGTGTGTGTTTGTGTGTGCATGTGTGTGTTTGTGTGTGTGTGTGTGTGTGTGTGTGTGTGTGTGTGTGTGTGTGTGTGTGTGTGCGTGTGTGCTTGCGTACATTAGGCTAGTGTTTTCTCAAAGGTACACGCACGACTTTCCAAAGAGGGGAGTGAGTTATCGCATATAGTGCTCATGACGGCATATCGCCTACTCTGATTGGAGTGATGGCTGGTATTGCTTTGCTCTCGCTCTGTGTGCAGATTGTTTCTACATGCAAACATTTCAGTGCCTATGATCTAGAGAACTGGGAAGGTGTCAGCCGTTTCCAATTCAATGCCATCGTCAGTGACCGTGATCTCGTCGAGTACTACTGGGTGCCGTTCAGATCCTGCGTACAGCGTGCTCACGCCCAGTCAATCATGTGCTCGTACAACGCCGTCAACGGAGTGCCGAGCTGTGCCAACTCGCTGTTTCACAACACCATTGTGCGCGACGAGTGGGGATTCGACGGGTTCATTGTGAGCGACTGCGGTGCCGTGGGTGGCATTTCGTCAGGCCATCACTACGCAAACACTTCAGATGGCACGTGCCGCGCGGGAATTCTAGGAGGCTGTGACGTGAACTGCGGCAGTTTCTACGGTAGTCATTTACAGGATGCGGTCAATAACAAGGCACTGACCGAGGGCGATGTGAACGTCGCGCTGAGACGTGTCCTGAAGCACATGTTCTGGCTTGGCCTCCTGGACCCAGCTGATGGTCAGTATTACAAGGTAATGATAAAAGACCTCCACACAATGTATACCATTTAGATAAATAGTTCATGTCTATTAGTAATACCGTAAAGTACCGCCAGAGCGCCCCACCATCTCGTCCTTTCGTGGTCGTATTGTGGAGGTGGGGTCTCCTGTCTGTAGGTCATACGACACGAACTTTGTACACATATTGCACGTTCTGCAGACCGTCCGTACCTTTGAGCAGACACGAGCTCCACACAAAACCTGCTTAGCGTGACCTTAGTACACTAAGGTTCTCACACCGTACAAACTTTGTTTCACTCTGCCATACGATTTTCCTTTACCTGGCTGTAAAATCAAGGTAGGGTGCTCTCGCGAGACGGGGCGCTCTGGCGGTACTTTACGGTACAGGCAGTGCACATTGTGAATGAGCGATGTGTGTGTGTGTGTGTGTGTGTGTGTGTGTGTGTGTGTGTGTATGAGAGAGAGGGAGGGGGGGGGGCAGGGCTTTCTAGAACTGTTACTCGTATCGCCACCTAGAATTAGCACTGGCATTCAGTGGCCACAGACAACCATGATCTGGCTTTGTGTTCGGCATGGTCTCTATGTGTCTACTTGAAAATAGCTTTGCTTTGAAATACATCACTGAATGTGCTATGGTTTGTGTCTTCCCACGGCAGACTTTGTCTTCGTCGGATGTTGACACTGCAGAGCATCGCAAGCTAGCACTCGAGGCAGCACACCAGATGATAACTTTGCTGAAGAACGACGGTGGAATGCTTCCTCTCGATTCGGAAAAGGTTAGTCAATAAGACTGGCATATAATCCCTTTTTTTTGTAGCTTGATAGTGGAGTTAATTGTAAGTAATCGGTGGTGCTACTGAAGTACTTCACTAGCACACAGAGAACCATGACATTGTGTTGTGCGTGCTGCACGTGCTTTCGTCCCGAGGGAATCTCCAATTGTAACCGTGTGTTGTTTACTTTCCTTTCCCCGTTTCCTGCCCAAGGTGTCAACTGTGGCAATCATCGGTCCCCATGGCAACGCCACGCAGGATCTGCTCAGCAACTATCATGGAACGAACAGCCTTGTTGACTCTCACTCCCCTCTACAGGCCATCACCGCTATGCTAGGGTCCGGGAAGGTCAAGTATATCCAGGCACTTGACACTGTCTCGTCAAACGACACGTCACAGTTCGCCGACGCCGTAGCCGCCGCCAAATCCAGTGATGTCGCCCTGGTCTTTGTCGGCCTGGACCAGCACAGAGAAAGTGAGGGTCATGACCGGACCATGCTGGAGTTACCAGGCGCACAAGAACAGCTTGTGGCGTCTATCCTCGCTGCCAACAAGAACACGGTGGTGGTGCTGGTCAACGGCGGGCCTTTGGCAGTGCAGTGGATTAAGGACAACATACCTGCTATTGTTGAAGCCTTTTACCCGGGAGAATTGGGAGGCGATGCCATTGCAGACATCCTCTTTGGCAAAGTCAGCCCATCAGGAAGACTGCCATACACGGTCTATCCGGCTGATTTCATCCAGCGCAGTTACTTCAACATGGACTTGCGTAATGATTCCGGCTGTACGTATCGCTACTACACTGGAAAACCACTCTGGACGTTTGGAGATGGTTTATCCTACACTACATTCAGCTATAATTGGAGCACGCCACAGTCACCACTCCTGTCGTCACATCGTAGCTTTGATGCAGCTGCAGTTGGTCGTCAAGAAGACAGCATTGAATACACAGTGGATGTGACCAACACTGGCAAGATGGACAGTGACGTGTCGGTACTTGGATTCATCACGGCGCAAGAACAGCCGGATGCACCATTGAAGGAGTTATTTGACTTTGGCCGTGTCCATCTTGCAGCTGGTGAAACAGCCACTGTTCATTTGACGGTAGGTCCTCAAGAACTAGCTCTTGTGGATGAGTATGGTGTGGAGGCTATCCGACCTGGTCGCTACAAGATCCAGGTTGAGGAGCTGACAACAGACTTGGAAATCACTGGCCGTGAACACGTGCTGTTTAACCTACCGGAAATGAAGAGACGTCATGAAGAAAAGAATGGGTTATAGTTATCAGTATCTCCATGCGCCTACGTGATCATGCTGTGCAGGTCTTTGCTAAGATCACTGTTGGTTTTCCATCACTAAGTTTCAAATCTTTGTGGTATTCACTATTACGTATTAGAGCATTTTCATGTGTCTGCACAAATTCCGAAGCAAGCTTGTTAAGGTCACTGTGGTGTCATTCCATCTTTAATCGCTCTTCTGACGAATTTGTCACTGATGCATGAATTTGTCACTGATGCATGTATTTATTTTGCACACATTATAGTATTGCCACTAGCTCTTCCTAATTTTACTTTGTTGGAAATTTACCTGTATGGCTTTTCACGTCGCTAGCCCTGGCTTGTTGTACAAGGTCGAATTTCCCATTATCACCTTTTATACCTTTTATAGTGATACTGCACACCGGGAAACGTTTGCACCGGTTCTAGTTTGTGCTTTTCGAGCACTGAGACTAACTTTGCACCTGCAGATGTTTGCGATTGGAGTAAATTTCATTATGCTTTTGTACTTGTACATGCATCAAGAGACTGAGTCATGTTTATGTTGTTGTTTTCTTTATTTTGAATTCGCTAAAACCAAACGGACAGAACTGTCCAGTGACAAGGGAGCGAATGATGAGGGTCATAATCACTATGCATCAAAACATCTAGAGAGAGAGAGAGTGAGAGTGAGAGAGAGAGAGAGAGAGAGAGAGAGGGAGGGAGGGAGGGAGGGAGGGAGGGAGGGAGGGAGGGAGGGAGGGAGGGAGGGAGGGAGGAGAGAGAGAGAGAGAGAGAGAGAGAGAGAGAGAGAGAGAGAGAGAGAGAGAGAGAGAGAGAGAGAGAGAGAGAGAGCTTAGTCGCATGACACCATACATCCAGTTCAGTTTGCGCTTCTACAATGCTTCCCAGTCGGTACAACCAATGCTTGACTTTTTGATGCATTCTAAAAGAATCAAACCCCGCTGCTTCAGCCAGTCGGCAATATGCACTCTTTGGAGTTTCATGCATGACATTGCATTGTACAGGATCTACAATAATGACTTGTACTTGAGTCCGTACCCCCTCCCCCTCCCCGAGGGGACATAGACTCTTGCTCGTAATCCCGGTTCCTGATCGATATGCAACCTTGCAGGGGAGCCCTACACGTTCGTGTACGTCCCCATACAGATACAGCCCTGGCACTGTACTGCTACTGTAGTAATATACTGTGCAGCTTGCTAGCTGGCAGATACGGTGCATGCGCAGCATTGGCGCTGGGACCATGCTCCCAAGCTTATCAATGCGTCGGCAAGTCTCGGGACTGTCTGTTGAAGCTGCACTACATTTCCGGGCCGGCCCAGCTGACAGACATGCTGCCACCTGCTGCCCCTGAGCCCGCCCGCCCCAGAACCCGCCACCAACATCAAGTGAAACACTCCAGTTGTCAACCCCCCTCCCTCCCCGCAACAAGTCCTGACATCCTACGTAACACCGATCCTGTACGATTCGTACGACACGACATGCAGCAGTCGTTGCGACGTTCACCGTCGAACGGCGCGAGTCATAACGGTCCGTGACGGGGTGACTTTTGGACCTATTTTCTCGTTTTTCGGGACTTCTTTTCAATTATTTCTCCTTGAAAGAAGCGGAATCAAGTTCACAATACATGTACCAGTTTTTCGTGAAGACCGAAAAATTAGCCCTGAAAATTGTGGCATTCAAATAATAGCCCCAGGAACTGAGGAAGTGATAGAATAGTTCGTCTGTCACGCTCCTGAACTATCCCTAAATACAATAAGTGACATGAGATCTTATGTTGCTAAAATTCAACTCAAGTCGTGCCAGCCATTCTGTGAGTTATCATGGGAAGCGCAGTGTTCGAAATGCTAAAAATTTCCAAGTACGAATCGGGAGCAGTCGGCGCACGACGCCGTCTCCTGTTCACACTCGAATTGCAGCCGTTTTGTACGCTTGCGTCCCCGTCTACGCCCGTCTACGGTATGAAAAGTTGGATCGATCCAACTCTTCCCGTCGTTGCGTTCGAGGATCACGCTCCGTTCGCCGCCGTCACATCAACCTTGTGCCTGTCGACCTCGTCCAGGCTGAGGCTCGCCTTGCTACGCATTAGACTGTCTTCACAGCCATTTTAGCTCCCTCCTTATTGGACTGTTTTCACAGCCATTGTATCTTCCTCCGTATAAGACTGTTTTCACAGCCAAAAAAAAGATATCCTTAACTCTTCCCGTCGCTTCCCGATCTGTACGGTAGTACGGTTGCGTTCCCGTTCCTGGTGTTCACATTGGACGCCGTCAGACCGTCCCGTCGCTTCCCGTCGATCCTTACGTCGCGTCCCGTCGCGCCCCGTCAAATGTGAACTAGGCTTTTACATGGAATGTTGTTGTAGAAGTTTATTTAACGTCGCACCACAAACAGGCGATTTCGCCTCCTTTGATACATACATGTGGACGACAGAAGGAATGAGAGAGAGGGGGGGGGGGACAGAAGTATGGAGAGAGGAAGGGTAGAAATAAATAAGCAATCAACCTCAGGGCTACACCAAAGCAAAAACGGAATGGGAACATACTATATACAAAATAGCTTCATACATATATTGCAAAACACGTTTACTATTCTTCAGTCCGCTATACCACAGAAACACACTAGCCGAAAAGCATTTAAACGGAGCCATGATGCGCTTTTAGCAGGGCACAGAACTGAAGGTGGCTGGGCTCGGAACGGAGATCAGGCGGGAGCTGGTTCCACAGGACTGCGCCGATGAACTGCATGGTCGCTCGACCCGCAGGACCGGGCCAAAATGGTACTCGAACGAGGTGATGTGCTGCTCCCCGAGTGCGGTCACCAGTAACTCTCACGAAGAAGCTGGTGAAGAGGGAGCTTGCTCGGGAGAACAGACAACGACGGACAAAGATGAGGAGCTTAATGTTAAACATGTCCTCCAGGGTGGTGAGGCGGAGCTGTTCAAAGATCGGGCTCGTGCGCGACCACGGTGGCAGACCGAAGAAGCCGCGGATAGCGCACTTCGTTAGACGTGTGAGGGGCTCCATGTTGCCAATTTGAAGTGACGGATGAAAGGCGTTGGAAGCGTACGACAACCTACCCTGGATCATCGACCTGTAAAACAGGATCTTTGACGCCAGGGTGAGGCTTCGGCGGCTCCGCCACAGCGCACCTACTGACTTCCGCACCTGCTGGATTGTGTGATTGACGTGAGGCTCCCAGGAGAGCTGCCCATCTACCATTACGCCCAGGTACCGCGCTTGTTCCACAACTGCAAGGGCTGCATTCCCACAGCGAATTCGAATGTTATCTGTGTCAGGGGCTGGGCCTCTTGGGGTAATCAACAGAGCTTGCGTTTTCTTTTGGTTCAGCATTAGTCCGCGGTCCTCCAACCACTGCGACAGGCCAGTGATGGCTGTGCTTAGAGAAGAGCACACTTGTTCGCAATGCTCTACTCTCTGCCATCCTGAACGCTCCCCCATCCAAGGCAGCGCTGCAACGCTTCAAAGTAGCAGTGTACAAGTACCTCCTCGAGCAAACCTGTGGGACTGCTGTCGACGTGTACACCACAGACTAGCATACTACATGTAGCTGATGGCCTAACTCTTTCTTCTTTCTTTCTTTTTTACCCTCCCCCCCCCCCCCCCCCCCCCCCCCTGGTGCGCGTTGTGTGCAAGTATACCGAGACCTCCGGTCGGAGGCAGGGCCTAGGGAGTAGTACTTGTACTACATATATTACTCCCTGGTCGGAAGAGTCCACAGCGCCCCAGTGCCCACCTACACAGCGCCCCAGTGCCCACCTACACAGCGCCCCAGTGCCCACCTACACAGCTGCGCTAGTGGATACTAGAATAGTCAGCCCCGACTCAATACTCAGAATAGTTGTTTGTTCTGTCAACCCACAACTTCTGTGTTCTAGTCGTTTCTTCGTTCTCCCTGCATGCAACTTACTTGTGACTTTGTTATCTTTCTTGTTCTTATTTTTGTCTTGTACGAGCCGGGTTTGCAGCGGCGGATCCAGCGATCTCTAGAGGAGGGGTTCCAGTATAGTCAAAATACTCAAAACTGAATGCTAGTAAGTAGCTCAGTCGGATACATGTAGATCTACATGTACATGGACGCGCGTATGGTTGCCAGTAGTACATTTACGAAATTTAGGGGGTCCGCGGAACCCCTGGAACCCCTCCTGGATCCGCTCCTGGCCTGGGTTTGTGTTCTTTGTAGAAAAAAATAGAAAAAAAGAAAAAAGATCATGCATGGTTGCTTGCAGCTTTGCTTGGTATGGTGGCGTGTACACGTAGATCTACGTGTACAGTAGAGCTAATATAGAGGATCTATATCTATTATAGCAAGAGTACATAGGGGGTTTATGTACTCTTGATTATCGATCTACACTGTAGGTCGTCTGCAGCTGATCTGTAGCTGTTGAGGTCTACGTGCACGTGGCCACGTTCTGCGTGCGTAGATCTACGAGTCTGTTTTGGAGATTCGTACCCGGACATGTCATGATGTCGACAAGATCTTTTTTGAGTACATAAACACAACCTTAAAAAAAAGGCTTTAGGCCCCGGTCACACCGAAACAAGCCACTTTGGGCTTGTTATCGCTGGCGCTCAGCTGGCTTGCGTGGTCCCTGTGACGCGGTCACACCAGACCTTGACTGCAAAGCTTGAATGGCTTGTTTTTCTTACCCGCCAAATTTTGAATATCTCGAAGCACACCAATGTTTGCAAGAAACCGGAAAGCAGAACGTTCGCGATCTAAAACTGTACTTGTTCTTGTGTTCAGTTTTGAGGAAGAAGCAAAGGAAGCCCGGATTCTGAATTGCGAAGTCGTGCTCTTTTTATTTGTTCGGTGTGCATGGACGCGATGGTTCGGGTGGTGTTTCCTGATGTCGAGCTTTCTGCCCCGCCAGTTGCCGTTCTTCAACTCAGTTGCAATCCACTCTCTTCTTCGTACCCGGCTTTCTTCATGAATTCGGTCGTGAGTGTGGTGCCTTGTCTTGGCCTCAAACCACAGCTCCAACAATCTACGCAGCAGTCTAGAGGCACAGCGGCAGAAATCCATGGTCGTCGGACAAAATCCAAATCAAACTGAATACAGTGTAGTTGGATAGACAGGCTCACGGTCAAAACCAAAGGCGCAGGGATAGCACGGTTCCACGGACACAAGAAAGAACATCAATATCAGTTCATCATGTCAACTAGCTACATGGTGTGCTCCAAGCGCACTCAATTTATTTTTTGAATTTCGGCTTTCAGCCGCTTGTACAAGCTGTGGCTGAAACAAGCCGGAAAAAAACGGCTGAGAGTCAGCCACGGCTGAAAGTCGCTTGTTGGACATTTTTCAGCCATTTCCATGGTAATAGTGACGTAAACAAGCGCTTTTTTCGGCTGAACGGCTGAATCGAGCTCGGTGTGACCGCGGCCTTATGGGGAAGCTGTCATATGCATGCTGTGTCCTTTTGTGCCCTTTTCAGGTTTTATTTTTATAACCGACGCATGTTTCTTGAAACAACAAGTTCATTCACCTGCATTGTAGTACCGGTACTTGTGAAGTTACGGTCTGAGCCTTCGAGTATTCGACAGAACGGCCTGGATGGCTTCAAAGTGAAACGCCTAGTACTTCACTTCAGACTGGCGTTGTGCCCATGCTCTCAGTTGCTGCCAGGCCCAGGATAAGATTTTTCGGCATGCGTATGCGTATCAAATGTCTTCTTCAAGATTGAGTGCAGTTGTGAGATACTGAAACCTACTGATTCTGAGGTTCCTTCTTGTGTGCGTCCGTTGCCTTCGGCGGACTGAGTGCCGCTTTGCGGTTACGAGTTGGCTCAGCATCGTAATGCTGCTGGAAGCGCTCTCTTGTGCTGAGGATCGTGTGGCTGCGAAGTTGTGCTCAGAGCAGTTGGTTTGAGTTCCCATGGTTTGGGTTAGAAGTTCGAATTTGGAAATCGTAAGAGCCACCACCTTTATGTAAGCGCCATGGCTGATTCTGACCCGATGAGATCTAGAACGTGCAGCATAGCTAGCAGGTCCCTTACGTCTGCCGCTGCCGGTGAACCCCATCGACCCAGGTCTGATACTGATAGCTGGCCAGATCCTGACTCGCCTAGAAAGAGGACAACGTCACTGAAAAGGGTGCAGCCCATAAGAAGAAATGACAGTCGAGCCACTACCAGCAGTAGGCGGAACACGACCAGTTCCATTGCTAGCACCAAGTCATCAGGTAGCGTCTCCACAGGCGGCAGCAGGAGGTCACATCACAATAGTTTTTCAGCCAGAATACGCCACGCGCTGGCCTTCTCAATTGCTGGCCGGGTGACCGTGTACAGCACAACTGGGTGTCCAGAGGCATCACACGTCTTCTCCAAACTTGAAGCTCTGGGTTTGCCGTTTATTGACATTAATCTAGATGTGTTCTGTGAGCGGCAAGAGGAGATGATTGAACTGTGTGGAGTGTCGGTCACCCCGCAGGTGCTTTTCAACGATCGGCATCTCGGAGGCCTTGATGAATTACAGGAATTGGTGAGTTTGAAAACTTTATCTGGTAGCGGTCTTAAGTACTGTTTACTGATAATGCGCTGAAGAAGGGAGTAAGGCCAAGGGGTGGGGTGCGGGAGGGAGGGAGGGGAGGGGGCTCACTTTTCATATGAATCTCTGAGTAGTAAGTTACTACTAGTAACACGATATTGCTCCACCCTCTGTGTAAGCACGCTCTGCCGAGCTCTCTACGAGTATTGTTTGACTTCTACATGTCCATGTAGCTGTACAATCCCACCCTCAATACGGTAACGGTTGGAAAGACTTATTCACAAACAGAATCACAAGGTAGAGTTTTCAACAATATCCACCAGCAGCAGCAGCAACAACAACAACAACAACAACAGCAGCAACAACAACAACAACCACAACAACAACAACAACAACCACGTGAGAATAAAGAATTCAAACCACCAGCAGCGGCAGCAGCAACAACAACAAGAACAACAGCAGCAACAAGAACACTAACAGTAACTGGTGGGAGAAGGGTACCACAAACAAGAAGACCAGTAAGACTAGTATAGAAACCAGTGAAAATATAAATGGACCAATCTGATCAGCTCTAGTTAAAAATTCATAATGATGTCAGATAAAAATTAATAATACAGCATGCATACAGCGACACAGAGAACCCTAAGTTCCTATCAATACGAGCGAAAGGATGCGTATATTGTGTGGCTTACATAATACACAATACATAATCCATTCAACTGAGTTGCATAGTGTTGCCTTGTAACATGGTGGAATTATAATTAAATGTATTACATGACTTGATCCCTTTGATTGGCATGTGGATTGTTTTGGTCAGGACACGTCAAAGCTTGTTTGTCATGTTGCTCGGGAGCACCTGCATACTAGTCATTATTTTGCGAAGCTTTGGAAGGTAGTAGCTTAGTAGGTTGGTGTGTATAATTTGTGTCACACCAACCTGTCTGAACTTGCCAGTTTTTGGTATTAGACAATGATAGCTAAAAACGCTACTTGCTTGTTTATGTATACTGTGGACGCCTTATATTATAACGACGTGCTAAATCTACCGAGTTAACGAGGAGAAATCTGTCTTTACAATGGAAAATGCTATGCAGAAATCGATACTTATACTGTTGCCAGTGAGCGTTGAGAAGGAGTGAGAATCGTTACCTTTGGTACACGTAAACCAGTCAATTTTAGGAAATCGTTACATTTACGGCTCGTTAGAATAATGGCTTTTTGCAGTAGTTGACTGTTGTCATGTGTGTGTGTGTGTGTGTGTGTGTGTGTGTGTGTGTGTGTGTGTGTTTCTTGCAACAGGAGGCTAGTGGGGATCTGGACACCCACATCCACTACTTGCGGCGCACGCGGCCAACTTCTCGGACACCCGCCCTACCGACCGACTGCTTGCTACCCGCTGTTCAGTCCAATGGTAGGTGTTAACATGAACTTCGGTGACCGCATTGCAAGCAAGCAAGTGAATTTCCACACAATGGCGTTTAGCTCCGGAAAGAATCATCCTCGGCATAGATTGACCAGTGTGCTTCACTTTCGTTTTCATTTGTTAGTTTAGATGGTGTGTCGGCAGCAGACTATTTGTTTTCTTTTCACGATGCGTAGGGGAATTCTTTATCCGCAGATTTGGTCTTGAAACACACAGTTTCGTGACTAGACCTTTTTTCTACCAGCAGTTTGCATTGCACATGAGTTTGATGGGTCATTCACAGGGCCCGTTGGGCTAGCTCACCGTCTGCTGTTTAACTGTAGGCATGCTCATTCTTGCGAGTCATGCTTATGCCATGCCTACAGTTTGCTTTGCAAGCCATGATGCAACTTTACTTGTTCTGTGATCTTCCACGCTGTTTACTCTTATTAGATTTGGAGGTGGTACCAGAGTCAGTGGATCAATATGCTTCACTGGTTCGGGAGATACGCAAGTCAGGCCTTATCAAGGACAGGACGTACCACCTGCGCTCGTACAAGGCCTGCATTACTGGTACTGACTTGGTCAATTTCGTCTGTCGCTTACGAGATATCAGTGAGTGTTCTATGGATGATGCTTAATACTCTTGTTTAGTGATCAGCAGCATTGGACAGGTATTGCGTCATGAATTTCGGAACCAGAGGTTTCGGGGAAACATTTTTGCAATTGCTGAAGCCTGTATTTGGATATGAGCGGATTTGTACTTCCAAAGGTGTTTTGCCAACGATGGAGAAGTTGTAACCAAATGGCGATCAGATGACATAACTTCTGTGTACAAACTCCTGCTTCAGGTTGCATACAAGGCAGGGGATCATGTAAACTTTCTATGAACTTTGCTCTTGCGAGACGACCAGAGAATGATCCAGGGTTCATACTTGTTTCAGGGTAGGTCATCAACAGACTTTCCGAAAGCATACCTACAGACCTCAGTCCCTGCATCCCGGAACGGTTTCCGAGACCCAGGATGCAAAACCTGGATTTCTACATTGGCGCTGTCACCTGTATTCTGGCTATATCACACTTTGTTGTGGCTACTTGTGCTCTCAGGTCGTTTCGCATCCTTGTGGTGCTTTCGTTCCTGTGTCCTTTGGACGAGATCCATCTTGAGCAGTTTTCTTTGGCACTGTTGTGACATGTGCAATGTGTATCATGGTGTATCATGGTGTATCATGGTGTATCATGGTGTATCATGGTGACTCACCTATAAATCACTGTCACGGTGTGTGTCTGCTTCTCTGAATGAAATGCCGTATTGGCACTCCGATATCATCGCAAGCATGGAATACAGTCTTGTTACTTCTTGGTTTACGAGATCTTGGTCGTGTCTTTGTTGCCAGGTCGCAGTGAGGCTGTGGAGATTGGACAAACGCTCATTAAGCGTCACTACCTTCACCATGTCTGCCACGACCATTTCTTCAAGGACGAGAAATTGTTCTACCGATTCCTGGAGGATGAACCAACGGAAGCATTGAACACGTTTATGGTGTGTGAATTGGAGCCTCGGCCTGGTGAGTGTTGATATTCAATTGCATTCACCTGCCGGTGTACAGGGTTAATAACTACAGAAATTTAGCCAGGCCGAAACAAAATGGACACTTTTTACCAATTGGACAAGGGTATATGGATTGGGACATTAGGCCACCTGCTTGAAATTTCAATATCTGGATTGGACTATGGTTTCCCCTCCCTGAACAAAAACACAACAATGCAAGATGCCACACTGAGAATTCAATCTACTACATTGCGGGCATTACGGTGTTACAGTTTTGTATGGTTACATCCTAGTTTTGTTTGTACGCCAATTTTGATCCGTATAGCATAACCAAGATTTGGGGCTGATTTATGTCACCCACCCCCCCCCCCCCCCACACACACACACACTCAGACTCAGACATGCCCATCGCGGAAGCGATGATAGCGAACAGCTATGTTAGACATAGCAACGTGTGCTGGGATTACACCATTCAACAGCTTGCAAGGCTGATGAATTGCCCGCCACTAATTTTAGCCTGGTATCCACCACACAGCTGATTGAAGTGGCTTTTTCTGGCCAGTGAATCCTATTTTTCATTTTTCATTTTTTTTACACACACACCACACCACATACTCCGCCATACACTGGCTAACCACCCAGGAGAATGAAAGAAGAGCTTGGAGAATGAGAAAGAGAAGAAAGACGTGTGCGATCATAATCGTCGGGAATTCAACCCGCAGCCTCTCGATTGGAAATCGACTGCACATACCACTGCACCATATGGGACACACACACACACACACACACACACACACACACACACACACACACACACACACACACACATGCCAGCTGGCAGCTGTACCAACATGCAGACCCTCCAACCGTCTTATCTGAGTGACCATTCTGGCATGGGACTATTTTTGTTGTTGTTGTTGTTGTTGTTGTTGTTGTTGTTGTTGTTGTTGTTGTTGTTGTTGTTGTTGTTTTGCACGCATTTTGGGTGAAGACCATTGTCTTTGTGCACCACTGTGTAGGAGTGTCTGTGATGAAGTTGTACAGCCTTACGGTGTCATTTAGCATCTTACACGAGGTTGAGGCATATGTTGGTTGAGGCATATGTTGTGACACGAGGTTGAGGCATATGTTGTGACACGAGGTTGAGGCATATGTTGTGACACGAGGTTGAGGCATATGTTGTGATGATATCAACGACAAAGAGCAGTGTATGCACAGTGTATGCACAGTGTATGCAGTGTATGCACATTGTATGCACAGTGTATGCACAGTGTATGCACAGTGTATGCACAGTGTATGCACAGTGTATGCACAGTGTATGCACAGCGTATGCACAGTGTATGCAGTAGTGTATGCACAGTGTACGCCGCAAATGTTTCCCGGTTTACAATAATTGCTGAAAGGCGAATTGCCAACATTCTATTCTAAAGCATTGGCAGTGAACTCATTGACATGTAGTACAGTAACCATTGTGATAAGCACGCACGATACATGGACTGCCTTAGTCGGTTTTCATATAGCTAACTGGAGTTATCTTGTACAGCATCATCTCAGTGCTCTAGCTGCCCTTCTCAGTGCTATTGCTGCCTCTTCAGCTTCTCAGTGCTATTGCTGCCTCTGGACACAGGTGTCAGAACACTGTTCTCCCTCCTTTGCCACACAACACTGTGCCAATCTATCACTTTACGTGAAAATACATAGGTCCGCTCTACACCACTTACCGTATAGGCGCGAATAGAAGCCCCGGGGCTCTATTTTTCCAGAAGACACCCAGAGGGGGGGGGGGGGGGGCTGTATTTTGAGAGGGGGCCCTATTCGAGAGTGGGCTTTATTTTTTCAGCTCGCGGTGTGCTCCCCTTTGGTTACACACATCCGTTTTTGGCGCAGTGTGTTCCCATTTTTGCATGTCTCTACGTTGACCCCAGAGGGCCAGAGCAATCCAGTACCTCCAATACGGATCTAGTGATCCGCAAAGCACACTGTGTTGATCGTGCATACCGTACATGGTTCATGTACTGCACTACAACGTACGGACTGTGGGCGCTCGATTAGAGCCTCAGGCTTTTATTCGAGACGGGGCTGTATTACTTCGAATGCCTCTGAGGGACGGGCTCTATTCGAAGGGGGGCTTGTATTCGTGCGCGTACGGTACTAATCATTTCCTCCTATTGTGTATTTCTTGCTTGTTTCCCCTCTATGTTTTCTGAATGTTGCCACTCCTGCCGCAGCTAAGGTTCTCGCGGAGATAATGCGCAGAAAGATTCTCAGCATGTATGACTTGTTCCTGTCACCTGATGGCAAGGTAAGTTTGTCAAATGCCCTCTTATGATGGGCAAGGTGGATTATAGTTCTCATGTACTAATCATGTACGTACTGCTCATTCATGTGACGCTGAGGCTTGTTAATGATGGAGTGTACCAGTTGTGTAGATTTCCCATCCTCTGGCTTTCCACAATTTCAACATCCTCACCCATCAGGTACCAGCATGTGTCATCATGGTATGTTTTGAGTCTTGTTTGAACGAACGATGCTGTTGCTTTTCTGGTATGCAAGTGCCTTAATTAAACCTGTCTGCTACATGGGTTGCTGTGCTCTGCGTGCGATTGCTGATTCTAGGCGGTTGACTATGAAGCTATGGGGCGCAGCGAAGCCTTTTCTCAGTACTCTCAACTGGCGTGTGAGCTGCAGCGCTGTGATGTGGCAACACTAGATTCACGGCAGAGGACGGCTTTCTTCATCAACATCTATAACGTCCTGGTCATGCATGCCACAACACAATTTGACTCGCCCAAAACCGCCTGGGATCGATTCAAGGTATGCCGATCCGTTCACCGATTATTTTTCCGAACATGAGCTAAGCTACTAGCCTTGCTGGGAGCTTAGCCTGTGTGTGTGTGTGTGTGTGTGGTGCGACGCCATGTGTAGCTCTGGTGCTCTTGTCTACTTGGCTGAGTGACTGCAGTGGTTGCACTGTGCTGTGATTGCTGCTAACTAACATTCAGTAATATGGTACTAGTGCTGTGTTTACCAGCGTATGGCAATAAATAGAATAAGTGAGGCGGACATTGAGCTATAAAGTTCTTGCCTCTTGTCTTCATGTTGCCTATTTGCATACCAGAGTATGGTACGCATTTAGTCCTATACTTCACTTTTGATAATCCATGTACTGTACTGTACTGTACTGTACTGTACTGTACTGTGGAAAGTAGTGCAATGTATTATCAACTGGTGCCAGATTCGCCACCTCTGACCTGACATAAGCCGTACGCACATACCTACACTATTCACGGTGTCGGTTGCTAGTTACGCGTACCTGCAGTCGGTACTTGTCAGGTATCGCATGTATCACTTTTGGACGTCCGCAGCTAGCTTGTACTTGAAGGAGATGTTTAGTACCATGAATCCCGGTTGTCTGACTGATATTGCTGTAATGGTGGATGTGTGTGTGTGTGTGTGTGTGTGTGTGTGTGTGTGTGCGTGCGTGTGTGTGTGTGTGTGTGTGTGTGTGTGTCACCGTGTGTGCATGCGTGTGTGTGTATGTGTGTGTGTATGTGTGTGTGTGCGTGTGTATGTGTGTATGTGTGTATGTGTGTGTGTGTGTGTATGTGTGTGTAGTTCTTCAACAGTATATCCTACATGATTGGTGGCCTGGAGTACTCGTTGAGCGGCATCGAAAACGGCATTCTCCGTGCTAACAAGAGAGCTCCTAATCAGGTGAATTGCAGTGGGTGGATGAGCGATGTGTGGATGTGATAGAAGTGCGGTGAGATTTTTATTGTATTGTACTACAGTCGTCTCTCTCTAATCCGGCACTTGTTTATCCGGAACCCTTGCCAACCGGCGCACTTTCTGACGAAACTGATTTTTTTCGTTCAATTCCTACATCTTAATCCGGCACTTGAATTCCGCCTCCGGCAGTGACTTTTTGAAACGAATCGCTCAAACTGCACGTAGGTTGATTTCATAATCCGGCAGTCGTAAATCGCGTGCCGTACAGGTGCACTCCTTGCCAGGCCAGGCTAGGCCAGTCTGGTCAGTGCCGCGCGCGCGGGGCCACTTCAGAGTTCAGTTCAGTTGACAACTGTACTTGACCTCGCGCGGGAGAGTTCAGTTCGGTTGGTTGTTAGGACTTTTCCGAACCCTAACTCAATTTATACCAAGAGAAAGACCAAGGAACTACAAGTTACGCTTTACTGTCCACTAACACCACCAGTTACTAAACAATCAGCTCATGCGATAACAATATAAAGCCGTGCACCAAATACTTGGGTCGACACGGAAAAACCCTGCGTTTTGACGTATGATACATGCATGCAATTGGGTAGGGCCGGATCAGAGGGCAGGATTTCTTTATCCAGCACCCTCGTTAATCCAGCAGAAAACGCCGTAGCAAAAGGTGCCGGATTAGAGAGGGACGACTGTATTAGATGTCGTATGTATTGGGCTTGTTTGTTTCAGTTATTTATGTTTTGTTTCAGTTATTTATGTTTTCGTGGCGTTCCCACGGATGTGGAAAACTCAGCCTCTAGCTGGGCCTCACCCGAACTGTAATTTTTTTGTGATTGCATGACTTTGAAGCAGGTTGCACTCATGTAGTTCGAATGTTGCACGTGTGATTCTTTCTCATGGACAGGCTAGCTGTTGTTGAGAGATTTTTACTATCACTTTGGTTATCTCTCTGTCAGGTACATCGACCCTTCCATAAGAATGATCCTCGTCTGCAAATGTGCTTGCCGACTTGTGACCCACGCGTGCATTTTGCCATTGTCTGTGGTGCCAGGAGTTGCCCACCCATCAAGGTCTACTCTGCAGAGGTATGCAATGCAAACAAGACTTGTTTTCAAAGTGTACATCCCAACAGGGATATGGGTAACAGAAACGAGACATTATCGACTCATGTGACCTGTTCTTCAGAGGCTGACAGACTCTTTTAACCTTTTTCAGCTGATGAATAGCGTTATGTGATGCATTGGACAGTCAATTGTTTTCTTCAGACATTTTGTACCTTTTTATTCCCGCAAACTGATGAATTTTGACTCATCTTTCCGTTCTTGGTAGGTTTACGCTGGGACTGGGTTGGTGGTAATGACGGTCACAAAATGCCCCCTTATCTTGCCCCCTCCCCCCCCCCCTCCCCCCTTTCACTCTCTTCTGCCCACCATTTGCTTGAACGAATGAGTTGAAATTTTTTTGGCCACTGTCTTGATATATTTGCTCCAGGAACTTGATGAGCAGCTTGATGTAGCTGTTGCTGCGTTTCTGGATGACGGTGGCATTGATGTGGATCCTGATAAACACGAGGTATGGTCAATGACGTTTACCCAACTCTCTTCTGCACTACCTTTTAAGGTACATGTAGTGCGGAAGAGCGGTTGGACTTTAAAACGTGTACAGCTGTGAACCTGTAGTGTATAGACACAGTTAACCTGTAGTGTATAGACACAGTGAACCTGTAGTGTATAGACACAGTTAACCTGTAGTGTATAGACACAGTGAACCTGTAGTGTATAGACACAGTGAACCTGTAGTGTATAGACACAGTGAACCTGTAGTGTATAGACACAGTGAACCTGTAGTGTATAGACACAGTTAACCTGTAGTGTATAGACACAGTTAACCTGTAGTGTATAGACACAGTTAACCTGTAGTGTATAGACACAGTGAACCTGTAGTGTATAGACACAGTTAACCTGTAGTGTATAGACACAGTTAACCTGTAGTGTATAGACACAGTTAACCTGTAGTGTATAGACACAGTTAACCTGTAGTGTATAGACACAGTTAACCTGTAGTGTATAGACACAGTTAACCTGTAGTGTATAGACACAGTTAACCTGTAGTGTATAGACACAGTTAACCTGTAGTGTATAGACACAGTGAACCTGTAGTGTATAGACACAGTGAACCTGTAGTGTATAGACACAGTTAACCTGTAGTGTATAGACACAGTTTTTACATGTAGTGTATAGACACAGTGAACCTGTAGTGTATAGACACAGTGAACCTGTAGTGTATAGACACAGTTAACCTGTAGTGTATAGACACAGTGAACCTGTAGTGTATAGACACAGTTAACCTGTAGTGTATAGACACAGTTAACCTGTAGTGTATAGACACAGTTAACCTGTAGTGTATAGACACAGTCACGGTGAACCTGTAGTGTATAGACACAGTTAACCTGTAGTGTATAGACACAGTTAACCTGTAGTGTATAGACACAGTTAACCTGTAGTGTATAGACACAGTGAACCTGTAGTGTATAGACACAGTTAACCTGTAGTGTATAGACACAGTTAACCTGTAGTGTATAGACACAGTTAACCTGTAGTGTATAGACACAGTGAACCTGTAGTGTATAGACACAGTGAACCTGTAGTGTATAGACACAGTGAACCTGTAGTGTATAGACACAGTTAACCTGTAGTGTATAGACACAGTTAACCTGTAGTGTATAGACACAGTCACGGTGAACCTGTAGTGTATAGACACAGTTAACCTGTAGTGTATAGACACAGTTAACCTGTAGTGTATAGACACAGTTAACCTGTAGTGTATAGACACAGTGAACCTGTAGTGTATAGACACAGTTAACCTGTAGTGTATAGACACAGTTAACCTGTAGTGTATAGACACAGTTAACCTGTAGTGTATAGACACAGTGAACCTGTAGTGTATAGACACAGTGAACCTGTAGTGTATAGACACAGTGAACCTGTAGTGTATAGACACAGTGAACCTGTAGTGTATAGACACAGTTAACCTGTAGTGTATAGACACAGTGAACCTGTAGTGTATAGACACAGTGAACCTGTAGTGTATAGACACAACCTGTAGTGTATAGACACAGTTAACCTGTAGTGTATAGACACAACCTGTAGTGTATAGACACAGTGAACCTGTAGTGTATAGACACAGTTAACCTGTAGTGTATAGACACAGTGAACCTGTAGTGTATAGACACAGTGAACCTGTAGTGTATAGACACAGTGAACCTGTAGTGTATAGACACAGTTAACCTGTAGTGTATAGACACAGTTAACCTGTAGTGTATAGACACAGTGAACCTGTAGTGTATAGACACAGTGAACCTGTAGTGTATAGACACAGTTAACCTGTAGTGTATAGACACAGTGAACCTGTAGTGTATAGACACAGTGAACCTGTAGTGTATAGACACAGTTAACCTGTAGTGTATAGACACAGTTAACCTGTAGTGTATAGACACAGTGAACCTGTAGTGTATAGACACAGTGAACCTGTAGTGTATAGACACAGTGAACCTGTAGTGTATAGACACAGTTAACCTGTAGTGTATAGACACAGTTAACCTGTAGTGTATAGACACAGTTAACCTGTAGTGTATAGACACAGTTAACCTGTAGTGTATAGACACAGTGAACCTGTAGTGTATAGACACAGTGAACCTGTAGTGTATAGACACAGTGAATCTGTAGTGTATAGACACAGTTTTTACATGTATTGTTCCTTTGGGCTCAGGCTTGAAGACTTGAAGAGTTGAGTCTAGCACAACTGTCCACATCTACATGTACCCCATGCTTATAACCTAGAACAGTGAGCCACAGCGTCTAGAGAGGCGACACGAGCGACTGGAATACTAAACGACTTGGGCTTTGGTCCTGGGCTGCCTGTTCTAGTCTCCCTAGACGGCCTAGATGCTATAATGACTCGTTGATCTAGAATAATCCAATGGTACTCTTGCAGGGGGTTATGCCAAGCTGAAATAGATCTGTAACCAATACTTGGTGTTTGACTTTGTCGAAGGCCTTACTCATGTCGACAAGTACAAGGCCTGTATGGCGCTGCTGATCCGCTGCCTCCAAATATCGGTCTACAGCCAATGTCCGGGCATCTTCTGTGGAGTGAAGCGGGCGATATGCAAACTGGTTTACGGGTAATAAGGAATTTTCAGAGAGGAACTTAGTAGTTCAACTTACAGAATCTCTCATCGACTACCCGTTCTAAGACTTTGGAGACTATTGATAGTAACGATATTGGTCTACAGTTCTTAGCTATAGCTTTGTCGCCTGACTTGAAGAGGGGACGAATATCCGCAATCTTATAGGATGCAGAAACACCACCAGAAGCTAGAGATGCATTGATTAGTATTGTTAGGGACGATGCAAGAACAGGAGAACAGTGTTTCAGGATTGCAGCTGGAATCTGGTTGCTACCTGCAGCTTTCCGCGCATAAATATTGGAAAGCAGCTTAACTATTATCTTGCGCACTTGCGAGATCAAATTCTTCGTCATTCTCCTTCTTTACTGGATCCAGTGAGGCTGAACGACGCAGTGGTCTGGTTAGGTCGGACCCAACACCACTGAATTGCTCAATGAGCTTAGAAACACGGACGACTGGTGAAATTGAGGACTTGCTACGACCGCTGAGATAGTTAATGGTCTGCCAGGTTTATCGTGCGTTGGCCTGACTAGCAGCAAGAAGTCCCTAAGGGGTCGTCGCAAAAAAAATGCTGTCGTCCCTGAAACGAACATGATTCGTTTGGGGGGGGGGGGGTTGCGAGCCAAAATCGCAAGTCGACCGACACTGGACATATGGCATGTACATGCATGCGATTTTCGTCGTCCAGCATAACAAGCTGTGGTGGTTTCAGAGGGAGGGGAGGGGTCCGAGTACGAAATGAACAATGTTCGTTTCAGGGACGACAGAAAACTTTTGCGACGACCCCTAAAGTAGACGGCTCCGAGATGTCGTGGCTAGCCAGCTCGAAGGACCAATTTACAAACTTCAATTGCAATAGTGACTTGGCTCAACGTGAGCACATCTTGGGTTATCTTTACAGAACAAAAAGTATCGTGGCATACACTTGGCTTTGTCTTGGGCCGAAGTGAAGACATTGCGTAGAGCCGCGTCTGCACTTGATGCCTTCCACCGCCGATGGGTCGTATTCCATTGCTGGACTAGGTTATGCAGAGCTAACGTCTTCCAGGGAAGGATTTCCGGAAAGGAGCTTTAGGGCGGTGTAGACGGATAGGGGCATGAGTGTTCAAGACAGTGACACGTTTCTCCAGCCACATATCACACAATTCGTCTTCTGTCCGCGCAAGGTTCTCGAGATCACTATTAAGAAGATCATGTGCAAATTGACCCATGTCGATTCTTGCTATGTTCCGACTACGTCGCACGGGCGGTGTGAAGGACGTTGTGAATCGCAAGGCAAGTGCTACAGTGAAGTGGTCACTGATTGTGCTTTGTACAAGGTACTTCGACACAAGAGTGCATGTGTTTGTCTCCGGCCAAAGCGACGTCCAGCATTGCTTGGCTGCCCTGGGGTTCAGCTCTGGTAGGACTGTCCACTTTGTTCTTGGTGTTGAAAGAATTACACAAGTGCAGCAAGCTGTTGAGCTGAGGACTTTCGCAGAAGCTTACATTGACATTGAAGCATCCAACAAGGACCATAGGTGACGTCAGCAGTGTGGAGACGACGGTGTCTAATGCTTTAGTCAAGTCCTGCAAGTATTGCACTGGAGTGCCTGGAGGACGGTGCACATCACCAAGGAGAACCTTGGAACGCTGCCCGCTGACCTCTAACATGAGCATTTCCATCTGGGTGTCAGCCTTCACAATGCGGACTTGGAAATGATCTTTTACATATGCTACTAAGCCTCCGCCATGAGATGGTCTATCACGTCTGAACAGGGTGTAATTCTGTATGCTAAGGATGTTATCGGAAACGTACCTGTGACGACTGTACCGCCGCACTGTATAACCTGACGCTGTCATCTGCTGCAGCAGGCCGTTGTACTTCTGCGGATTGAGTTTCAGGCGTACTCTGGGTTTGTACAGTCTCATCCTGGGGGTGGGAGTTCCTTTGTTTGAGGACCGCCAATTCTCCTTTCGAAGGAATCTCACCTCCAATTGCAGGTTAGATATCAGGGCTACCTGGGCAGCCCATTCTTTTTACACTATTTGCCATATCGGCCAAAATAATCTAGTATGAAATTCATTGTTGCAGAGAAACAAGAAAGAAATTGGTTTATCCCCATCTACTCCCATACAAAGTCTATCTCTCTGACATCATAAATCCGGCCTGGTCTGGGCCAGTTAATGATGTCATCATGATGTCACCAAATTTAGTGCGAACTTCAAGCAGGTATAACCCCAGAACGGCTGCTCCGATCAACCTCGGACCTTCACCATTGGAATCAGTGCATTTTTCACTACAGGTTGTGAAGTTTTCATTTTAGGGTGAACTTCCCCTGCTGCTCTTCCGTATTTTCTCCAGCACACTTTTAAAACAGTTCTGTCTTGTGTTATGTTGGGGTGTGTAGATTCACTTGAGCAGAATATTCCAGTGGTATCAGTCAGACTTTGCTGAGACTAAATACGAGGTGAGTTATTTTAGAAGATGAGGGTACCTTCCATTTTGATTTCCTTTCTCTTTGCTTGCTGCTGCTCCTGTCGCTGCGATGTGCTCCATTTCATCTTGTGTGTTTGGGTGAAAAGACAAAATAGATGTTCCACTTCACATGAAATGTAGAGAAATCGCGTAAAACATGCATCTAGGTTACAGTACATTGTGGATCCCGATTTTTACGTAGAGATAAACGATCTCTACATTATGGCACAAGCAAACAATTCGCACGAATCTGGTGCGTATCACCCAAATTTGGCATCCGACCATCAAAAACCGGCAGATTTGGAAGAGGGAGTTCCCTGTACACAGTTCATGTGATTGCTTTGTGTTGTTGTAGAGGAGACACTCACTCATCTTTGCAGCGCATAAAGCTCAAGAATGCAAGCGTGCTGGGTCACATATCGCTGGTGCGCATCGGAGCTGGGAGTGCCTCTAACAGCCTCTCCTGGTGTATTACAGTTATAGTCGACTCCACTTGTCAATAACAAACTCGCACATAGCGAATTCCGTGATATAGCGAACCAGTGTCCATGTTCCTGTTTGAACCCATAACAACATTGATCCTTTATAGCGAACAGTTTCGTGTATAATGAACCATATTGTGCAGGGCCACATGTAAACTAAGTGCAATCATACTGTGATGGGCCACATGACATGTTGGTTGTATGGTCTGAGTGCATTTCGGTTATAACAAACTTCGGCTATAACGAACTAATTCTCCTGTACGATGGCATGGGCTTATATAGTGTTCGTTATATCAGGAGTCGACTGTATGCAGTCATGTGAACCGGTGCAGTGCGTACTCAAAATCATACGGCAAATCACCGGCGGTGAGGGAAGGGAGAGCTGGACAGTGTTCAAGTTTCGTGGCCTGCCCTGGTACCGATCCCGTACACTGGTGGGAAAAAAGTGGCATACCGTACTTCCGCACATATAAGCGCATGTGTTTATGTCCGGCCAGAAGCGCATGTGTTTATGTCCGGCCAGAAGCGCACCCCTCAATTATAAGCGCATGCGCTTATATGTGAACACTATTGTACGGGCAGAAAATTTCGTCGGTCAATAATTTTGTCCAACTCCAAAGAAAGGGAGTTCGTCCGGTTGAAAATTTAGCCCATGGACTATGCCAGTGTATTGAAACGCTGGACAAATCAACATTCGTCCGGCATTTAATTTAGTCCCAAAGCTCCTTGGACGAAAAAGACGAAATTAAATTCCAGACGAATATTTCTGCTTGTACAGTATTGGTGAAACACCCGGGAGCTGAATATACTGCTAAGCATTGTGATAACACCGTTGTTTAGGACACAGACAAACCTGTATTGCACATATAAGTAGGGCTCAAACGGTCACGGTTTTACCCCTGACGGTTAACTGCTAAGCTAACGGTCGGTTTAACGGTTATAACCTATAAGCCACGGCAAGTCTGCGAACTCTTTTTTAACCGTATATTTGACTCTACTCATTCAAAAAGTGTACCCTATTCAGTACAGCGCACACTTGTACATTCTCTTGCATGCTCATTCATACATACTCTCACACCAAGAGACCAGATATGACCGAGTTGACAGCCCAGAAATTGCGTACACGTGCGACAGCCCGCGAAAGTGCACACTTTGCAACGACCTGATACTTGAAAAATGGACTGAAAAGTTACTTCGTTAACCGTTATCTTTATCGGTTAACCGTTAATTCTTCGTAACCGGTCTGCAACCGGTTAATCGGACTAATCGTTTGAGCCCTACATATAAGCGTATGGGCTTCTACCCGAACATGTTCACACAGCAACAAATCTTTTTTGTAGCAAATTTAATTTTCACTTATAAGCCCATGGGCTTATATGTGGGGAAGTACGATATGAATTGTGCAGGCCAGTGATATCCGGTGCCGGAACCCAGACTTTTGTCAAAATGTCATACTGTTCTTCAATGTATGACACAAGATTCAAGTAAATGAATCCTAAAGGTGGCAGACACAATTACATGCTGTGTGACTTCATCAGTTTCCACGGATTCGCGTTGGCATTGCCTGAGGCGTTGAGGAACATTTTCGTACCAGCGGGCCACCGCTGCGAGTCTATTTGTACTGCAGATGTAATTCAATTTGTTCTTATCTGTTTACTGTGGTGCAGCTACTGAAGTGGATTATCAAATATATGCCACCTGGTGACATGTGTCGGAAATTGTTCGGCATAGTGCGCACTCTGAACTATAAAATTATCTTTCAGACTTATGATTGGTCCTCGAATAAAAGCGAGTAGATGCCAAGCTGTCCTGTGCGAGGAACGTGCCGGTGCGCTTGGCTATGTGCACGCTACCCCTGCACTGCTCATGTACAGTGAGGATCTGTTTACGAGTAGCTGCGTGTCATAATCAATGACCTCCACTTGTCAACAGTCTAGCATGACCCTGCACCAAGGACCATGTAGTGTTGGCCTCTGCACTGCACTCCAGCCATGTCTAGAACTGTGCTTTTCGCTCCTGGCACCATGCTTTCGGCCTATTTACCTTGACTAGAGAAAAGCATTGCATGCTGCCATCCCATTCACTGCTCTCAATTGCATAAAATGCACTATTATTTTCCTTGTCAGCCGCCTCTAGCTGGGCTGGATTGAAGAGTGCCATATTCTTGTACCCTTTTCTTGTTCATTTCGACCGTTGACCGAGCATGATACGACACATCACATCATTACAACCATTTCTCAATTGCTCTTACCTTTTGCTGATACTTTTCTTGCCCCATACCCCTCCTAAGACTGTGGTCACTTTTCGACTGCTATTTTCTTTGCCAGTTTTGCTTACCTCTGTCCTCCATCACGAGGCTTTTCTTATATTTTATTTTTTTTATTGTGTGCAACGGCAAGTGTTTAATCAAAACATTGCCCGCATTTAGGCTTGCCCAGTGTTGCAGCTGGTCTCTTTCTCGTTTGTGTTTGGTACATTGGTGCAGTTTCAAACAGTGCTCTAGTGCTCTAGGCTGTCATCTACTTGTAGTGTTCCCGCATTTTAGCCTTCGTATCTCGGTGTCTGCTTTTGAACAGTCGGGAGCCCTCCTGTTTTCACCCACGACTATAGATTTGTCGCATACTTTTTTTGCAGATTAGTGCCCTGCCGCGGTATGTAGAGGTATTCATATATTTGAGAGAGGTCCATTGGCCATTATCAATCTGTTCTTGTTTGTAGGTAGAACATTCACAAGAAACAAGAATACCTCATCCTGCACTTGCGTCTTCGCTTGGTCATGACTGCTGTGGGTAGGGGGACTATGCCTCGTCTATGATTCAGTAGTGCCTTAATTTTTCTTGGTCCTGGACCTGGATGCTTGCACAGGCCCCTACAGCAAGATACTGTAGCGGACATGGAAATCCAGTCGATTGACCGGGGCCGGCGCCCTCAGCGCGTACAGAACGCTGCGTGCAGTGCACATGTTGATCTGATGCGACCAGCGAGCTGCAACGCATAAATGCATGTGTGTACCGCTTATCCACGGCTGCATAGCCAGCGCCCTGCGGCCGCTAGACGTGCGACCGGATTTCCATGTCCACGACAGTACATGCACATCTCCATAAAACAACACTGGTTTTAATGACCTCTTTTTGCAATGCCGGGCCCGGGGTGTCCAAAATGAGAAAATCAATATAATTACAGTGTTAGGTTAAGCCAGGCCGGGTATTAACTGTTACATTTGGGCACTTTGAAGCGGTTATGGCTGCTTGAAGTTGCTGTAACACGCCGTTCTTTCAGATAGAGGCAGGTTTACTTGAAGGTACTTCTGAAGTTTGTTTCTAAGCACTTGCATTAGGGTACCTCAACTCAAACACAATACGGTCTCTTTGCTGCATACCTCATCAACGGTACACCAAAACTGGCATTATGCAGGGTGAAAACAGAAAAACTTCTGAAGTAATAAAATAATGGCATACGGCCTTCATCTTGTGTCATAATTAGTACTTCAAATACTAGTATTCGTTTCAGTAATACATCTACCTATGTTGTCAGGGCATGTCAGGATAGATTGAAGAGCAGGAGTACACTTTTTTTTGGAAATACACTGGTTGAAAGTAAAGGTTTATGTGTGAGGAGATGAAGCCCCTATCCCAAACCCCAATATGACAGGGTGCCAAATGCTTTGAAATTAAAAATCTGCCCGGAGATAATTGAGTTTTTTGTTGCAATCTGCATTCCTCTAGATTAAAAGCGATGTACAATTTTGAAAATTTTGAAGGACGCTTCACGCAGCTTCATTATACTTGAATCGTTTGCAGGCAACGTACACGTTACCTCTAATGGATTTGTGTGAAATGCAGTGCTCTCTTGAGTGTAGGCAGGTTGCCTGCAAACGATTCAAGTACAATTTTGATGTATAATAAAGAAAAGGATCAAGGAACTACAACTTACGCTATAAGGTCCACTAACACCACCAGCTAAATGACAATCAGCTCATGCGATAACATTGCACAAAACTGACCGACAGTCACTGAGTACTGACATTCTACAACTAACTGGCTATCACTCTAACATGTCTTTGGCTCTCCATCCGAGTCTAAACCTTGATGGTAGGTAATTGGGTCATTTGAAGGTATATTGAAGAATCTTGTCTTGCAAGCAGGTCAAACGGAAGTTAAAAGAACATCTTAGTCACAGTTTGTTGAATGTGGCATGCATTCTTCTTCACTTGATGGCGATATAGTCAAACAAGCATCCCTAGAGGGTCCAGACCAGCTGGAAAGATACTGGGATGATTGCCAAAAAATGAATCGAATTGTAACACTAAGAGATGGATTTGTTGAATACTCCTTTGCTAGTTCCTCTAGACTGAGATGCTAGACTTACTAATCACTAGATACTAGTCACCAATACTGGAATTAAAAAAATTGAATAATTATAGTAAAAAAAAGTGGCTTGTGAACGCCACTGGCTCACACTTAATCACTGCTTTTCACAATGAATGTAGTGTTTACATAAAGTCCACATGGAGGCAACAGTGTTTATCAACTTCTTTATTACACCCCTCCCTCTCCCATTAGCTCCCAACCAGCAAAGCAAACTACCACGAGGAATAGTTCAGGCTCCAACCAGACCTAACGAAATAACTATAGTATGGGCTTGTGTGCTTGTGCACAAGCATGTGTCTGTGTCTGTGTGTGTATGAATTCGTGGACTTGGTCCGACGCAGCTTGACAGGGCTTATTTTTGCAGCGCTGGAAGATGCCTGTACCATTCAAACGGAACTCAGCTTTTGGAGGCGGTTGACAATGTCGGCGAACGTTGGTCGACTGCTTGGGTCTGCTTTCCAACAGTGCTCCATGAGCATGACATACTCCACGGGAACATCATCGCCAAACGAATCTTCACTGACATCTGGTCGATAACCAGATACTACAGCATCCGTCAGCACACTGTAGAAGCGGAAGTCTTCCCGTTCCACGAATGGCCGCTTGCGGAAGAAGATCTCGTACAGAACAATTCCAAAGCTGCAAGCACCACAGCATTGCAAGCACCACAGCATAGCACACAGTTACGTATTAGTCCACGAGTTCTTTCCGGTAAAATAGTGATGTTCTGCTCTACGTTATGGGAACACGACGCGAAGAATCAGGAGAACTCTCTTCGCGTTCCCGTAACGTAAAGGAAACCTGTTCTGCAGACATCACAAGGAATGTGTACTGGGAATTTCCCCTGCCATATTTGGCAGTTTTCTGCCCGCATTTGAATGATACCCAACGGATCTGCACGCATTTTCTTTGCGTGTGCCACAACGTAGAGAACCTAATCTATGCGTAGAAATTTGCACCCAAAACACGCGAAGCCGTAGACTCTAACCCAGGCACCTACTCTCTACATGATTTCTCTACGTTTCACGTATAGCAGTACCTCTCTATTATGTTTGACCAAATCTTCAAGATACTGCACAACTTTACACAGAATGGCTAGTTGGCATTTACACCTGGCCATCACCGAACATGCAGACCTTGACTGGACGGACGCAGAAAGACGAACATATGACGGTATGGGTTTTGACAATTTACAGTTATCCAAAGTGTTTGCCCCGTGCGGCGATATGCAAGACCATGGCCGCAGCGCATTGTTTGCTCGGAGATGCCCTGTTTTCTCCCTTGTGCAACATACATGATATCACCCCGGCGCTAATGCAATTCCAAAGATACCTCTGTACAGTGAAGCAAGGCACAGTCACTAAAGAAGCACATTCACAATAGCTCATTTTATTACATACAATTCCCTAAATTCCAGAATTCCCTACGATGCATACACTGTTCGATTATGCAGAGGTCTTCGTCAAAATCCATGGAATCCAATTCCACCCATTCTGAAGCGCATTTCGGATTTCTATCTGTAGGACTCGTGTGCTGTAGAAGATACAAGTACATGTACTGTCGTGGACATGGAAATCCAGTCGATTGACCGGGGCCGGCGCCCTCAGCGCGTACAGAACGTTGCATGCAGTGCGCAGTTTGCAGTCACGTTGATCCGATGCGACCGGCGCACTGCAGCACATTTATGTGTGTACTGCTTACCCACGCCTGCATGGCCAGCGCCCCTGGGGCCGCTGGACGTGCGACCGGATTTCCATGTCCCCGACAGTACATGACCAGTGATGTTCTCAAGCAGCTGGGAAGAATAAAGCAGCTGGGAAGAATAAAGCAGCTGGGAAGAATATAGCAGCTGGGAAGAATAAAGCAGCTGGGAAGAATAGAGCAGGTGGCTCACATGTAAAACTCACCTATATACGTCAGTGCTAGCGCCGTACTCTTTGCGTAGCATCATCTCCGGAGACTGCCAGAGTGAAGTGCCGACTGCCCCGGACAAGTAACCTTCACCTTGCAGCAGTGGAGTCCTCTCATCACGCGGCACGGCTATGTTCACACACAGACCTTCCATCTCCTGGGAGACGGGCTGCTGTTTGTCAAGAGTCTCTATTAGGCGGGCTGTTCCAAAGTCAGCGACCTTCACCACCCACTTGTCACTGACAAGCAGATTGGAGCTCTTCAAATCGCGATGGATGCGAGGTGGTGTCGAGCCATGTAGAAAGGACATACCCTTGGCGGCATCCAGAGCAAAGCGTAACTTATCACTATAATCTAACGGAGTGCTGGTATCTCTAATCAAGTTACGCAGAGCACCCCGTTTCAGGTACTCCATGACAATGAATAGATGTCCGGACCCAGAAGATCCAGCCCCTAGAAACAGGACTATGTTTGGATGGCGGAGAGTCTGCATTAGCTCCACTTCACGACGGAAGTCTTGCACACTGGCGGGCTCTGTGAGCGATGACTGCTTTAAATGCTTGACTGCCACGAGCATGTCGCTGAGCTCGGCCAGCCAGACTTCGCCAAAGCCACCGGCTGCCATCTTCTCTCTCATTGTCAGCTGGTGCCACTGGATCTCCCAGACGCGAGTCAGCTCGGTGATCTTCTTGCGTGATGCACGGAGCTGCCTTTGTTTCTCCTGCGTCTCTCTGCGGCTTCGATGGTACTTGCGCGCCACAGTGAGCACAATCAGCAACAGGAGCAGCGCAATAAAGCCGGCAATTAGGAAGTAGATTGGTAGATAGCACATGGTTTCAGGCATATAACCTGGATCACAGAAGCACTGGGCACGTCCAGCCTTGTTCTTACATGACCCATGGCCGTGGCATGGGTCAGGAATGCACGGGTCGGGAGCAAAACAGGCATTGACCTCGATAGCACCCGGTGCCCTGGTCAGTGTACCATTCACGCAGGAAGAACAGTTCAAATTCAGTGTGGACGAGTAGCTACTGTTCGGGCAGAGTTCACACTCACCAGCCACACTCTCCCTGCCAAGCGGACACATGCCGTAGTCCAGAGTAGCATACTGGTTGCCATAAACAAAGGTTTTCTCGCCCGCATCGCCGCGTTTCGAGTTCTCAAACGTGGTGCGACCACCCAACAGATAGCCGCCTGCCTTTTGCATGAAGAATGTGACGTGACTGGTAAATAATGGTAGGACTGTCACAGCATCCTGGCCATACGGTGCATCACTGTTGATCAGAAATAGTTCCGTTGTAGTATAGTACTTTAGGCGTTCGTATGGCTTACTGTGATTGCCCATGACCAAGAAGGAGCGATTTGTGTACGGCGACAAGGTGTGGAAGCGTCGACCAACAGGAGGACCGGTAGAGTCGAAGCTCAGATTCCTCCACGACACACTGCTGTTCTCAACGTCAGTATGGATCGTGAACAGCAGATTAGACATGCAGCAGTGCGTTCCACTATTGCCGCCGCCGAAGACGATGGGATTTTCCCTGTAGTAGCTCAGTGCATGGCCGTACAGCTGCGGTAGCGGCGGACTCGAGGCTAGCGTCAAGTCCGTCCAGTTTCCGGCACACTCGCCCAGGTCACTAAATGTAAACACCCAGAAGTCATTGGTTGCACTGAACACACCCTGCGGCTGTGTTGTCCCACCATAGACCGCAAACGATGTGGAGTGAATGGGAAATGAGACGTGAAACAATCGGGCACTGGGACCGTCTTTTGCACCCGATAACACCCACTCATAGGTGTTGATGTTGAAACACCAGACTTCTGGTGGGGCCAACACATAGCTATAGTCAACGATGGACTTTGCAAGACCGCCGCCGAAAAGAGCTATGACCTCCACCCCGTCAGCAGCCTGATAGACTGTTGTGTGCCCCATGCGCTGACCGAACAGAGGGCCAGGTGCTGGGAGGTTTTTGGTGTAGAACACTTTGGCCGTGGGTACATCGATATCGCCAAGACTAGCCAGGGTCCATACTGGCATTACTTCTTGCTCCGCTGCGGGTACGTCACCATGTCCATTTCCACACATGCCGCCGAGTAGAAAGGAGTGCACGTCCACTCGCCGCGCAAAGTCTGTGTCGTAGCACTGCGATGCTGCAGGCATGGGCAGAGTGACGGGTCTAGATGCCACACAGCCCCAGTTCCCAACAAACTGGTCCTTAACGGCATCGTTGATATCCAGCAGCGCGGCACTAGCAGTCCCAGTCGGTTGGTCAGGACTGACCGAGCTGCGATCAAACACAAGACGATGTGTCGAAAGACCGTTGTTTTCCACTAGGTACAGGGAGTCGTTGACAGAGGCCAGTGCAAGTTTGGTCATCGTATCCGTACCCGCATCGTAGAAAAAGGAGAAGTCAGAGTTGCCAGTCAGCGATGACTTCTCTGTTGCCGTCCACACTGCATCCGCTGCCTTGCCGTCCAGTTGAATACTATACACAGTGTAGTCACTACTCTGGCATAGTGCCACTACCACGACTAGCGTGCCACTTGTCTCACTGTACACTGCAAGCTGCTTCACTGCCACTGGGAACACATTCACACAGCGAGATCTCGCCTCGCAGTCCGCCGTCAGATTGGCCATCATCTCCCAGCTCTGACTCACCCTGTCGAATAACCAGAGGTCACACAGAGGCGTGGAAGAGTAGTCGGACTGTGCAAAGCCCCCGTACATTACCAGCGTGCTGCTGTTTACTGCGAACATGTCTGCTGAATACCTTGGCTCTGGCTTTGGTGACTGTTCGCTAACATCTACTAGTTTCCATGAGGGCAAGTCTGCTTGAGCTTGCTTAATTTCTAGCTCCCAGAGTGTATTCGTACCATTAGCATTGAGCACACAGCTGGCCTTCTCAGCCTTGTCAACATGCAGGCAGAACTTTCCACCAAAAGCAACAAGGTGAACATCAGCGCCTGTGCCTCCACTGCCGTTTTGAGATGCTAAAGCGTGGTAGAGATGTGGGACCAGCTCTGAGCCATGGTTCGTTTGGACATGCTCCAGGCCACCTTGGCTACTCCAGGAAAACAGAACTGCACATTCGTCATACACTCCCAGTCCAAATATGAAAACACTATTCTTGGACGGGCTGCTTGTCAGTGCCGGTAGGAAGTTTTCTGTCGCTTCGGCCATGCACTTCGGGTCGATTCCTGTGAAATTGATAAAGCCCACGGTGCGCCATGTCTGCCCCTGGCTGCCAGAGATATCCAGTATTCTCAATTTGACTTGTGGAGAGTGATTAGCCGACTGTGTGTTGTCGGCCATGCCAATGCATACCAAAGAACCGTATTCATTACGGTGCGTTGTGGCTGAGATAACGACAGCTGATGGCGGCATACTCAACATGTAGACGAGGTTGGGCAGCGAGAGCAAATCACTTTGCCCTGTACCCGGAGGTAGGGGCCGAGCCACCCCGTACTTCACTGGTGTGAGGACGCTCTGCAGCAACCTCTCTATGTCACTCCCTTCTTCATACATACGCTCCTCATTCATAACGTTATCTGCAGACATGGTGCCTGCTGCCACAGGGTTGTAGCGCGTTGTAGAATAGCCAGATCGTGGATTTCTGGTTGCTGTAGAATAAGCAGCAGCTGCCAGCTTGGGCTGCAGTCTCTTGCTGGCATTATCATCCGACTGTACACCACTGGCACTGGGGTCGACGATATGAGCCGCAACGCAGGTTACAATAGCCACAATCTGCACAAACCGGGACGTCGGAGCGCTTACTACGACACGTACCGCCAAATGACCTAAGCTACTCGCCGTCATCATTACTCTGCTCGTTGGTTAATTGCGTCTAGCTTTATGGCGACTCTACGCTATCTAGCTAGCTAGCTAGCTAGCTAGCGGCGTTCAAACACACAGACACATAATTATTGTAAAATTCGAGTTGATTGCTACCAAATTAATCGTGTTTCCTGACTACATCGTAGTGTATAGAGACAGACAGCTTTGTCGGTGAAACTGCTCAGTTCAACTCTGGAGAAGGGGCAGTTCGTCCAGCGACAAAATAATCGTCCAGGAATGACGCGAAGCCTGCTGAAGGACATACATAGTCATAGGCCGTTAGCAGGTTAGTCCCCCTGATCATAGCTGATGAAAGCTCTTTGGATGAATACTCTGGACGAAAAAAATTGGCACGAGTATTCGTGCTGTTCGGCTAATAAGTATAGGGCTTGAAAGTGATGACGTCAAAAACGGCCTGGGAGTAGTAAATTGACATCAGATTTCTATTTTGGATCCACTAAGGTGTGACTTTGCTATTGCCTCAGTACGTGGGTGCATAGCAACCCACTCATGTCGTATGCAGGTGCAACTTTTACTTCGCCACCAGTTGTCACCCCGCCCCCACTAGCCAAATCAGTCAGTTTCACTGGCAACATCACCTTGCTGTGAGTGAGACCGCTTGAAATGTGCTTGGATCCATACAAAAACTGGATCCAGGTGGATCCAGTTTTCGAATTTTTCAAATTGTTGCTATGCCATTGCTATGGAGTGACGTAGCACTTTCAAGCCCTATTATACGTCATGTACTTGTACATGTAACCATGATAACCATGATAACCGGTGCACAGGCTGATATCAGCTGCTGCAGTAACCGAACTAAATAATTACAATCTGACATGTAATGTATGATGTAGTTCGTTATAAACAGAAATGCACTGACACCGGCATACAAACAACACAATCATCGTGCTTACCCCCCCCCCTGGCTTTATGCCCCGGCGGATAATGCCCGAGAATTTGATGGATTCTGCTTTTCAATATGCTCGCATTCTGCTCCAAAAAATAGCACTGATAATGCTTGAATTCTGCTTCGGAAAAAATAATGGAAATAGTGGCATAGATTACTAATGTTGCAGATTGCTAACAGCATACAATGTCATGTATTTTGCAGCAGAAGTCGTGTTCTACGAAACAGAAAATACGAGAAGCACAGAAAGTATTATTACTCAGCACCCAGTAGGCAAAGGCGCGGTAGAACTAGTCGCGAGGGCATTGTGAACTCTCACGATAATCCCATATTATGCAACGAGAGAGCTTGGAAGCTCAGAGCCCTACGCTATGCTTTCTTGCCTTGATGACCTAGACAAAAAAAAGCATAGGGATGTTTTTTTCAGACATAACCTGGGATTCAAACCCGCACTATACTATCGCCCTGCAAGCATCCCCCGATACACTTCGCATACATACTAATTCTTCCAAGTTGCTTCACGTTATGATCTTGCATTTCAAAGCCCTATTTGAATATTGTGGCCAGCCGTCTTTGATGGTACAGTACGGTACGGGACGGGTACGGGCGAGGGTAATACGACACCGTCTACCGCCTTGATGACCTAGGCCAAAAAAGCATGAGGATGTTATAAATTTATCAATTCTCCTATTTTTTCAAGGCATCACCTGGGATTCGAACCCGCACTATCGCCCTACATGCATTCCCCGATACACTTCGCATTCATACTCATTCTTCCAAGTTGCTTCACGTTATGATCTTGCGTTTGAAAGCCCTATTTGAATGTTGTGGCCAGCTGTTTGTGGCCAGCTGTCTTTGATGGTACGGTACGGGACAGATACGGGATAGCGCCAGGCGTGACACAAACAAACACATAAACACCAAATTAAAGCTGTGTGGACCCTGGCTAGAGCCAGACGTTACTGAAGTAACGTCTTCTGCATAGCTACGAGAATAATATGCTAGTTTTCGCCAGAATATGCTAGTTTTCGGCAAAACTTGTCGGATTATGCTAGCGCAGTGCTAGTCTCCAGAAAGTGCTAATTATGCTCAATATAATGCTAGCATTATCCGCCCGGGCCTACCTGGCATACAGCCAGTATTGTGAGTAACTGCACGAGTGCACCGGCTAGGCAGTTCCCAAATCGGCCCGATTTTTTCGCCTAATCGGCTTTTCGATCCACTAAGATAATGTCCAAATTCGGCCATTATTATGAGCCCCAAAGTCAAAGCAGTACAAGTATCTCTGTAACTCGGATCGCTAAAATATTTCATCGCGGATTGGTCCTGATTCAGAAAACGCAAAAATTGTTGCCCGCTAAAATTTGTCGTTCTACAGTAAGCGGAGTTGACTGTACATGTAATTGCAAAGACCAACTACGGCTCAACGCAGTGCATGCAGAGGTCGATGGTAGCAATGTGTTTACATCAGAGCCATAGCACCCAGTCAGGCCGGCCAAGCCATGGCCGGATCTTACTTTCCTCGAACAACACCGACCCAACCAATTCTTGCAAAACTGGGGTTTTCCTCAATACGGCTCATTCCCGTCAAGTATCCCACTTCGCCAGACCACCTGAAATTACGATCCTACGGCCCTGCATACCTTGTCTCTGCTCTTGTACTCGTGCCGCTCACGAACGGCACAGTTCTACGGACTAATAATAGCAGTTCTAGCTTCACAGAATAGGCATTATTATACCGGCATGCACAGAGAATGCATGCAGAGAGACATAGACATGTACCAAGAGCAACAGCACAAAATTCAGGCCAGGTAGATAGCCGCAGCTAAAATTTAAAAATGTGAATAAATTATTATTCACACATGTCCGCCGGATGAGTACGTGTGGCCCTTGCAACATGGGGACCCACGAATACAAACCAGCATATGTTCCCTCAGCAATACAAGCAAGGAAAGAGAAATGAGAGCCCAGGCAGAAAGAAAAAAAGCGAAGAGAGATGAGGACATACGCCGGCAACGAAAACGGTTCCAAAGCGTAGCCAGGAATTGTATGTGTGCATATTGCTACGACAGTAAAAACGGCTAGTGCAGTCGAGGACAGCATAGCGGCACGAAAAATACGAAAATGCGACAGCAGCAGCCGAGAGTGTGCAAACACTAAACAAAACTTATCCCATAAATTTTTTAAATTATTGTCGTCACAGGTCTAAAGAGATCCTTCAAAAAGGAAGAACGGAGGAGTATACAGACCGTAATCCAGAGAGAGAGAGGGAGAGGGAGAGAGAGAGAGAGAGAGAGAGAGAGAGAGAGAGAGATAGATAGATAGAGAGAGAGAGAGAGAGAGAGAGAGAGAGAGAGAGATAGATAGATATATAGATAGATAGAGAGAGATAGATAGAGAGACAGAGAGAGACAGAGAGAGAGAGAGAGAGAGAGAGAGAGACAGAGAGAGAGAGAGAGACAGAGAGAGACAGAGAGAGAGATAGATAGAGAGAGAGAGACAGAGAGAGAGAGAGAGAGAGAGAGAGAGAGAGAGAGAGAGAGAGAGAGAGAGAGACAGAGAAAGAGAGAGACAGAGAGAGAGAGAGAGAGAGAGAGAGAGAGAGAGAGAGAGAGAGAGACAGAGAGAGACAGAGAGAGAGAGGGAGACAGAGAGATAGAGAGAGAGAGAGCCTCGGAGAGAGAGAGAGAGAGAGAGAGAGAGGCAAATGAAGTTCTATACTGTAAAGAAGGTCCTTCAAAGGCATGTGTGACAGCGGGAAGAAGATTGCGAGCATGCGGTCCTTTTTGAAGCAGTTCAGCAACCAAGAGAATGTTTGAGGTTAGGTGGGACGGAAAGGGCAAGGGAACATCTTAGGTTTCAAAGCTAATGGTGCTTAAATAAGGGTTTCTAAAAAAAATTCACTCTCGAGAAAGCACAGACCAGGGAGCAATACAATGACAAGTGGCAAAAAGACAATAGAAAGAATGGTATTGGCAAAAAAACAATGCAGTGGCCCGGGGCAGTGCATGCGCCACGACAGCGATGTTGATATCATACTTGGAAAATCATTATTATGTGCACCTAATAGCAGGCATCAGCATCAGTGAAGACTGGCATTTGAATGCATCACAACATAGATGCAATTGCAATGATTTGAAAATGCCGTAGAAAATGTTTCAGAAGAGAATATGTATGCTTGCACAACATGATAATCGACTTTGGACAAGTGTTGTTCTTCTTGAATGCAAGGAAAACATGTTGGGTACAGTCACCCTTCACATTGCAATGGAGGGAACGGACGTACATTATACGCTTCAAGCACACTAGGGTGATCCTGTCAGTCTTGTCTACTGGCATGCTGTGCTTGCTTCCAGCGAAACACAAGCAGTAACGGAAAGAGAACAAATATGCGGTGCAATGAACACACCTGTACAGTGCATGGCATGAGTGATGCACGTCAGATAATAATACATGTAGATACAATCATGATCATTGCATGGCACAGCATCCTGCTGAAGGATATAAATACGTAAACATTGCAAAAGTAAACCAAAGCATAATCCAATGCATACATCGTGCATTCCAAAATAATCAAAAAACAAACAAAACAATAATGTATTTCCAGGGTACTGGAAAGCCAAATTCATAGGGCACAGTATGTCATTAGCTTGGAACACATGTATATCTTATTGGTGTTGGATGCTCTTCAGAGATATCCATACTCATGTGGAAGGATTGATGCCGACAAATATGCACACGCACGCACGCACACGGACACGCCCGAAAACACACACACACACACACACACACACACACACAGACAACTCACCAGAGTAAAACTGCACATGTCATGGAGTAGCCAATGAGGCACCATAGCAAAACGAATCTGATGCGGTCTCCAGTTTCGTGAACTGGGATCATACACTCCATTGGTTTCACATCTGTTGTTTGCATCACATCTGTTGTTTGCAGCACGTCTGTTGTTTGCATCACATCTGTTGTTTGCATCATTTCTAGCAAGCGATCTGTAGACATTAGATTATGGCCAGCTTCGCTTTCATTGGCCACCAACTTAGCAGAAACGGAACTTCTATTGATTTCACCAGATTCAAGATCCCCTTCAATGTCTGGGGATTGTTCAACAGGAAATGGATCGCTCTCCTCATCTGCATCATCATCCATCCTCCACTCCGTGAACACATTGCTAGCAGAGTCTATGCCTGCGGTGTCTGGCGAGTCACTCCAAAGCTGCACTGTTTGTCTTGCTTGGTGATCCATGTAGTCGGTATGAAGTTTCTGTGAAAGCTGTACCACTACGGTGACAACAGCAGCAAGGTTCTGGCACTTCACGCTCGGCGGCAGCGATTGGAACAGACCCTTGTAGGTGTCGTCGCAAGTGTTGCCTATGGTGGACAGACTGGCATCTTGTGTTTTCTCCGCCCGCGGTGCGCATTCCAGCAATCTTTGAATTGCTCCTTCGGTGTAATGTAATTTCTGCTCAACATTAGCGCTGGGTATACACTGGGTTATGACTCGTTGCACCTCTGCTTTGAGATTCTGCAGGAGTACAAAGGTAACAATCATATACACAGCACAGATAACGGTACATAACATGAACATACTTCCTCTGGAAACAAATAACTTCGTGACTTTTTCACTAATTTTCGCTACTGTTCTGTCGCTCTCTGTGTGGTTCTGTCGGCCTAAAACACCAACAGATGATATTTCCGAACTGTAGGAAGGCATGATTCGCATTCTGGAAAGCCGACAGTCATCGCAAGGCAAAGGTTTCGTGCTGTAAACCAAACAAAGCGACGATGTTTTGCATTTTTGTCCACCAGGCACATTGCTAACAAAAGAACTGCGCTCACTGCTTGTCGTTGCTAGTTTTTGGTTCAGAATGAGGAAGAGCAGGACAATGGCACTGAGAAGCAAGAAGAGTGTGAAAGGGATAGCAGCTAGCGTTTTGAAATCTGCGTGATCCAAAAAACAGCAGCCAAAGTGAGAACAGGTCGGCAAAATCACAAAAAAATCCGAAAAACGCAAAGATGTGACAGCAAAGCTAAAACGTTCAAAACAAAGTTGTCGTCCAGTGGAAGACCTTGCCTTTTTCAGCAGCCTCCACTCCGATGTCTCCTTGGTAGCATAGGAGAACAAGGAAGATCTCCTCGCAGCAGTCGTGACGTGATGGGACGACTATAATGCGGAGAAAAATGCGAAATGTTTGGCTTTGCCTGTACGCGTCGTTCCGGAGCATTGTCGAGAGCCAAGGCGATACCAGAGTGCCAGCGCCACCGCGGTCTCCTAGATGCTAGGGAAGGCACTAGTGTAAATCAAGTACTAGTAACAGCAAAGACGATCAGGGACGCGGAGAAGCTGCTCCTTAACATGCGAGAACACGTCGATCGACCTGCCACTTTGGTTGGTTCCAGCCGTGATGAAATCGAGCGATGGCGACTCAGACTGATACTCTATTCCCATCAATCGATCTTGTAGATATTGTACACATGTCCATTGACCGTGTGGAAGAGTTTCTCTTTCAATAGAACACTTTTGTTGAGCACAGTAACTCCTTGAAAAGTCATGTGAAAAAGTTCGAAGTTTTGTTTCTGGAGGAAGAATTTAGGAATGTGTATTGCAAAGCTCAAGTGTAGACTTAGAATACATGTACTGTACATGTAATGTAAAGATTCAATCTCAGGACAGCTAACGATTTCCACCTTGTTAGGTCTCATAGGCGTAACAATCAGAGTCACTGACCAAACCGATAGCAAGAATTCGTTAGAATTTCATGTCGCTAAGCAACAAAAATCCCAATATCGTTTTAAATTACAGATTAATGCATGGAGGGGGGGGGGGGCTTATGACTGACTTGTTACTGCCCTATCCGGGGCTAACATGGAGGGGGCTAACAAGCTATGTGGCCCAACCTGAGAAAATTGGTACAGTATGCTATCACAGTTTCCTTCGGGAACTCAACAGCACTGAGTACTACCAATCAGAGTTTCATGCTGGGTCGGCCATCATTAGGTGACAAAACATTAATCACTTGATGATTGACCACCCGTGACCCGGCATGAGGCTCTGAGTTGTGACATCTCAACCTTCATTGCAATGACCTTAGGAGTTGCTTGTGCAACCAAGTAGGTACACACGCAAGGTAGAGCAGCTGGGGATAACGCTATTACTCCAAGTTTCCTGCCCATAGCATGTTCAGGCAACCAAGTGCTGCAAAACGGCAAATTTTAGCGACGGTGATATTTTAGCGACTATAGCGAAAGGAGTGTTTTCGCCAAAGTTTTGCCGCACGAATTGAAAATTTGCATGTACAGTACGAGTCACAGCACCAGTCATTCTTCTTTTTAGAGTCTGAACTCGGATCGCTAAAATATTTTCATCGTGAATTGGTCCAGATTCAGAAAACGCTAAAATGTTTACCTGTTAAAATTAGCCGTTCTACAATACTCAGTCTGTGCTCATTCATCTTTTTTGGGATCATCAAATTGAAGCCTAGCAGCTAGTATAATTATAGTCTATCGAGAGTGCGGATGCAAGTTTTTGCGCTCCGCGGTCGAGTTTGTTTCACCGGTGTAGCTGCCTTCGGCAGGACCGTACCTACACTGATTTGTTCTAGTGTTTATGTATGACTCAATATGGCAACTGACGAAGATATGGACTTAGCTCTGCTAACATACGAGGAGCTGCTCACAGTTGCCCGAGCTACAGGACTGACCAACCCGGAGACATTGGGCCGACAAGACTTGGCTGTTGCCCTTCGCAAGGAAGGACTAGGAATATGGAAGTCACCAGATCAAAATTAATGGTAAGCGACCTGCTCTCCACTTTCCAGCTGCTTAACGAGACTATCAAAGGTATGGCTTCAGAAAAAGAATGTCTTCGAACGAGCAAGACAGACGCCATTGTCTCCTTGAAGTAGAAGTTGCCCAACTGAAGGGAGAAGTAGAGAGAATGCGGTCCACAAATCCCGTACCCGTAGCGTCCCTAGCTTGCACTGACCAAGAGAAATTGTACAGTAGCACTGCAAGGAAAGCTGCCTCACCAACAGGCACACACCAGCACGGACGGTAGTACACGTACTACTACAAGAAGTAGTACCCCAACAGCCAGACCTGACCTGCCCGCCAAACCTCAAACACAAGCTACAAGCACAAGCGTCTATGGGTGGCAAAACCCACGCCGCCGCCGCCCTGCACAAGCCGACACCAACACTACCAGTACCAGTTGAAACGCACTATCAAAAGAGCCAGCCCGTACCAAACACACCGACCTTCAGGGCATGGAGCGGGTGAAGCGCATGGCTTTCTACCTTGGCAATGTAGACCTTGGATGCGATGCTGCCTCAATTGAACTGTGGTGTAAAAAGAAAGATCTTGAAGTTTTTCACTGCTCAATCTCGGAATCACGGTACTTTGGTACAGCTTATGCCCACCTGGTTGTGGGAGAAAACTGTGTAGACAAGATCCAAGGGCCTGGTTTCTGGCCTGACAAAATTTGTATCCGGAAATGGAGGTTCCACACTGACCAGGCTGAATCTGAACAATGAGTAAACCAACACCTCAACTTGACCCTTATAGGGGATTCACTCACGGGGAAACATGAGGTCACGGGACAAGGTAAAAGTTCAGACCTTCGGTCAACGGAGTGGGGCCGTTCACACCCGTGGTCTGTTTCCCTTGGCCGCATGTTTGCCCATGCATTTGTGGCGGGGCAATTAAAAAATTATCTGTACTGCATTTTTGTAGTACATTCTGTACTATATTTTGCATTCGCCATGCACAATTTTCCGATGGGCACTGTCTGAAAAAAAATAGGAAAATGCAGGTTGCGATGCACTCGTACAACTAGGGTTCAGATTTCTCGCCAAAGACAAGATCTACGCATGCGCGTCTTATAGCCATGGGATTTTTCCCTTGACAAACGCCCTGAGGCCCATGGCCACGGCTTTGCCAATTTTTTCCCGAGAGGTTCTTCCTTTCCCCCAGTACCATAGTTTCCGTAACAACTTTCCCATAACCGTGGTTTTACCCGTGTGTGTGTGTGTGTGTGTGTGAATCCCCTATAACGCAACACCCTTCTATCCTTCAACGCCCCTAGCCTCCTTTCCCCGTAGCCTGTATCAACGCACGTTCCCTTAGAAACAAATCTGCTGAGCTATCCGACCTTCTCACGACCAGCTGTCCCCTTGTTGTTTGCATAACTGAAACCTGGCTGTGTCCACAAATGTCCCTCTCCTTCCCAGGCTATGAATGTTTTCGAAGGGATCGACCCACCTCAGAGAATAAAATTAACACCAACGACTTCCTGGCCTATGGCGGTGTTGCTATCTTAGTAAAATCAAGTGCATTTGGTCCTATTACCCGCCGTACAGACCTACATCTTCCGCAATTCGAAGCTACCTGGGTAGAGATATCGCCATCTACTGCAACCTCTGCTTGCCCCACGCGCCAGCAGCCCATCCAAATTGCGGCTGTCTACCGTCCACCGTCCACCGACCTGTCGGTGATAGATAACTTCTACGCCTCGTTGCAAAGCTGCTTGACTAAAATATGTACCCCTGCCTCAATATGTACCCCTGCCCCCTGCCCCCTGCCCTGGCTCGCCAGTCCTCATCACTAGGGTTCCCTGTAAAAAGGTGTCGCCGCCTGTTGGGAATTCCCTAGTAAAACAAGAATAAAATAATAATATTAATAATAATTTGATAACCGCAATCAGTAATACAAGCTGGATCGACATTTGTGTACACTGTATTCATGTATTGTAAAACTGTGGAGACCATGTGCAATAAAACGATGAAAAATGTGAAGAAATTGTGTAGAGAAAGAAAGGGATTCAAACAAGTTTTCGTACAACACTCATCAGGAATCGTCGTTGTACTAAAGGACACTGAAACAAAAATTGAACTATTATAGAAAATCTAAGTTACAGAAATAACACTAAGAGCAACAACAGTGAAATTTACAAGTGTGAATTTTAACAATCAAAGCGAGAAATGAACAAAGGAGAAAGGAAGGAAAGACAACGTGATAACACATAACAGCAGTACATTACACCTAGAACATTAACGGCCAAGCTTGGCCGCACTAAACACGACACGTTACTTGAACAATTTCAACCCAATTATACTATCTTTCTGTACACACAAATTAGGCTTGTACAGACGCTGATAGATAGCTTCCAACACTTTTAACTGTAGTCCATAACCATGACGACCACGGCACAATACAGTGAACGAAGAGTCGGAATACGCACCGCAACAATCAGGACTAGCCAGCAGATGATTGTACACTGAAGACTTGCTACCACGAAACCTACGCACAACACTAACACTCTCACGGGCACTCTCACCATCACTCCCATCACTGCTCTCCGACTCACTGCTCCCTCCGCCGTCCGTTCCATCCTCCGCTTCCTCTGTACTCTCTCTGTCTCGTCCATCCCGCCTGACCGGGTCCATTGAACTCAACTCGGCCGTCCCCCTGCTATCACGTCCCTCCTTTCGCCCTCGTCCGCTGAGTGCGTAGCTTCTGTTGTAGTTG